ATTTTTAGCATTTCCATACCCCTAAAACGCAATTGCTGCTCATTAAAGTAACTGCAGCGCTAGAACCAGGCTGCCATTTTATTTAGGTGATCCCCATGTGTTTAGGTAGACGTGGTACAGTGCATTTCATTACCATGTACACTTCTGCAATGCTATTCATTTTGCAGCACAGAAAGAAGCTTGATATTAGTGATGGGACTGAATTGCTGCCACCGTGCAAATGTAAATGTTGCAATCTCATTTTTGTAAAGGAGGAAAACATGCAATTTAATAAAAAGTATAATTTTTTATATCATAAAAGTGAAGAAAATGCATCATCTGCCCAATAACTCGGAGCTGACTGTACCTTAACATCCCTATTTAAGGGTTGAAGGCGAACGGCCCCCTCCGGCTGCAGGAGCTGTTCCCGGCCCCACGTCCTCCCCGGGGCAGCCGAGGGCTCCCTCCTCTTTCCAGGTCCTTCCAGTCACTACCAGGAGGCTCCCGCGCCTCGTCCCAGGGCGCCTCCCCACTCGGTGTGCGGGGAGCTCCTGCAGCTCTCCAGCCGCCACTCCACTCCACTGCGGTTCTTCTCGTTCCGTGTCCGAGCAGGCAGCCCGGGCAGCGCCACGGACACGAGCGACGCCACGACACCCTGGCCCTGGGGCTGTGGTTTTCTGCCTTCACAGCCACCTCCCCGGCCACTAAACCCAGCATCCCTGCAGCCACCACTCCCGAGGATGCGTCCAGGGAGCGGAGCCTCTTCCCGGATGGAGCTGGCCTTCCTGCACTCCGGGGAATTCGGCTTGGATTTCGGCGCCTCCTCAGAAGGGTGCGCGCAGTGTGTGCCCGGTGCCGCGCTCAGGGCCCTTTCTGCACTGCCAGGCCCCGGTGCCGGAGCTGTTCCCTGTGCTCTTCCCAATGGGAATCACACAGGCCTAGGGCCCTCCTTTGGGCCCCGACATCCCCCCACTCAGGGGCCACATTTCTGGGAGAGCAGCGCGCTGGCTCACAGGCAACGAGCGCTTGTCTGAACTTACTGGGCAGGAGAAGAGATCAAAGCTACTCAAATTATCCTTGGGAGAGACTCAAGTGGGGCTCGGTTCACCTTTCCCCTGCGCCGCTTCTGCACTGCACAGAGCGGCTCACTGCAGCCTCAGCAGGGCTGCCTCAAGGCCCACGCGGAACAGGCACCTGCCTAAAGCACGAGGCTCCTTGCAGCAGGGAAAGAAAAACAGGGAATATGAAAAAATATCCCTCGGGCCTCGCACCAGACCCCTCTGATGCAGCCCGGCCGCTTCCAGCCCCAGGACAGGGTTTACACAATACAGCGGAATAAACCATCAAGGAGCCAGGAGTTCTCACGGAAGGGACCAGGAAACACACACACAAGCACAGAAAGAAGCCAAGTTCAAAGGCACTTTTGGTAAAAAGCATAGACTTATCAGGCCAATTGCATTCGGTACTCTAGTGAGGCCGCATAAGTGAGTAATAAAACTACACATGTGCTAAAAATTACATACGTTACTGCAAATGATAGAGCCTTTTCACTCATTTGGCAAACAGAAAAAGTCAAAGTGAGAATTTCAGAAAGAGTAGCCCAAAACAGCTAGTACTACAAGTGTAAAAACGTGTTTCTGTGAGCACTGGGAAGTCATTTGATTTGGCAGACTGGGAGCTCATGCTGATTTCCAGGTATATAAATTCCCTGCTTTCATGGAAAGCAACATGGGTAATAGCTAAGATCTAAGTACACCCTGGCTAACACAGACACTTAGGTTCTTCTGAACGGGAGCAGAGTGAGAATTTTTTAAAGTCCTACAAGTTGCAACCAACTCCCACCAAAATTACGGTCAAAACCAGACTTCAGTCCATCCCTTCCCACTCTCTTACTCATCGCCTGCTTTTCCTTTTTATAGCTGCTGTTTTATCTCAAGATAATTCTCATTTGAAAGTGTAAGATAAACCTAACTGATTATTTTTTATAGTAACTTGGACACGTTTATTTAAGGAAGCCAGCATTTTAAAAATAACATTGCAGAGTGAAAACAGGCTCTTTGAGGCCATTCAACAGGGCAGAAGCGGCATCCCAACTGGCAACGCAAGGTTGAATAGGTCAGCCCTACAGCGAACACAAGGTGCAGCCTTGAGGAGACCTCTTCTAGGCAGCCTTGCTTAGGAAGGGCCCTTCCCATCCTTCTTCCAGGATCTCATTACCGAGTAATGAGCCAGGCAGGAAGGCTGGAAGAGGAACCATCCCCATAAATTAGGTGGTAGAAAAGCAAATGTAGTTTCATAAGTCAGGCCACTCAAGTCACATTCAGTTTGAGACACAGCAAAAGTTAAAATCCTTTCTTAGTTACCTGATCAAGATATTAGGGAGTATTTGGAAAACCCACACGGCAACAGAGGCGGAAAACAACAACTGTGTTTGCACAGTGACAGCCACAGGCAGCAGCGGGTGGCGCAGGAGCCGCCTGCCCCTTCACCTTCCACTGCTGATTTTCCAGAAGGAGCTGGCCTGATCACAGTCGTATCAGCAACCTGCCCTGGAGACCTCAGCTTCTACCGCAGATTTTTGTTGCATACATAAAAGCGCCTTATACTGGAAGTCTTCAAGATGTTTGCGCCTCTCCTGCTACAAAATACCCATGCTTTAACTTCACTGGTTAATTCTTCACAGTGCCCCCAACAACGGGGAAGGGCAGCACCAGAAACGCACCCGGGTCTTGGTGCCCTCAAAGCCAACAGAGCACGAGTCCCTCACAGGGAATACCAGGAAAACTAGGATATAGCCTACAACAACATTTCTACAAAGCAACTATACCTTACTCTTACTTAACCATAGTGATTCTACAGTTTGTGCATTTCACAGTGATTAGAATCAAATTATATAAAGAATGTGGAATTGAGCAAGCTTTAGGAACCCTGTAAGATCGTGAATCTATGTTTCGGCATTGCAACCTAAAAGAAAACAAGTCTCTGATGACGAGGATTGCTGCTTGCATCCACTTGAGCTACTCAAAGGAGGATCCTCCCGGGAATGTTTCCAGAAGGAAGCTCTCAGCTGGTATCTTAATGCATATATAGTGCCCTTTTACAGCAGTAAAACCCAATCTTTCAGAATTTTTGTATTTCAAATGTATTACGCAAAAATGTTGGGTTTTGGATAACTTAGCTACGTTAGGATAGCTATGTTAAGATAACATAGCTAAGTACTTCTTCAGTATGTAGACATGCCAGGTTTACTATAGCACTACAGTTTAGGCTGCCCAGGGAGGCTGGGGAGGCTCCTTCTCTGGAGGTCTCCCAGCCCGCCGGGATGCGACTGGGTGCCCCGTGCTCCGGGTGTCCCTGCTGGAGCAGGGGCTGGACTGGATGATCAAGGATGAAGGATCTAAAGGGACCATCCTTCCACTTGTCCCACTTGGTTCTTCCTCTGCAGTTCCTTCCACTCTCCTTCCCTTCTCTCCAGCACTGACCAGCCCCTGCCTCTTCTCGCAGGGCTGCCGCCCCAAGGGGGCTCGGGCTCTACCCCCAACCACAGCCGCCTTCTGCCCCTCTGGCTCTTGGGCACCACAAAACACAGCGTCGCTGGTGACCGCACCAGGCTCCTCTCAGCTGCAGCCTGGATTTTAAAGCACCCTCAAGTGCTCCCCGAATATACCCAAGGCCATTAATACTCACTGCTTAATTACGGTGTCTGCAGATGGGATCATTTCAAGCTATATTCATGAGCACTCTGTGCATTTTTAATACAAATATATTTAGTTTAAAATTATATATAGAGAGGAGACATTTTCAAACATAATTTAGCAAATTAAAAAGGGGTAATTAATATCTAAGTCATGTTCATCAAAACAGGAATTAACTCACCTACTGCCTAACTGTAGATACCTCCTGTATTCTGGTCTTACATGTCCTACTTGATACATGGGAGAAGTAGAAAGAGGTTTTGTACCTTCATACAGAACAGTTTAAGGTGTCTATTCTGTATATTATCAATAATTGCTATGGTAATCAACATAAAAAGTAATGGCAGTACTTAAATCTTCAGACTTTTTTTTTCCTTCCCTCCTCTTACACATCAACAGTAACAGTCTGTAAGAATTACAGCTACTTACACCTATTTATTGCTCCAACAACAGATCCGGTGATTTAGAATCACTTTCTTCTCACAAAAGCTATTATTGCAGCCCAAGGCGATGCAAATAGAAGACAGGGCAGAAATGCTGGTGCATCAGGCACTAAAAAGCCTGCGATTGTAGGAGGCTTGTAGACACAAGCACAAAGATATGCCAAGAAGAGGGACAGCACTAGATGACAGAGATGGACTGAGGACAGGCAGCCCTGTAATCTAAAGGGAAGCATCACTGTCTAATTACTGGGAAAAATAAAACAGGGAGAAAAAAACGTGAAGAGAGAGAGAAACAGAGTTAATGCACTCAATATGCATTATTTTTTGAAGACAGGATCTTGGTTTCTGCTGGGTTTAAAGCCAGCACTCCACTGGGGGAAAAAAACACACCCAAGAATATACCCCAAAAGGCCAAATTAAAGGCTGATACTCAGATACAAAATCCACTCCACTTTGATGAGTTCACTGTGCATCAACAGCTAGATGCTGATACACGTAGAGCAAAAGAACGTCAGACAAAGCCAGACCACCAAAACCGCCTCCATCACTCAGAGGTCTATGGCTAATGGTCTACAACAGCTTTGGGACACAGATAGCACTTCTCTCCCCATCCCTCCTGATACTTGTCCCAGTATAATGACACAGTTGGAAGATTAACAGGCTTCTATACCACGCCGTCACCAGCATTTTTTTAAAACAATTTCTCCCTTCCCGATGTAAGTCACACAAAAATACACAAGACAACTTTCCACATCTTACTGAACATCCTAAGACAGATAGAGAGGGTTTGATTGCTTTGCATCACTTGAGATTTAAATGCTATTACAGGCAGGTTCTGAAAGATGTGACAAAGGTATTTAAGTTTCCATCAAGAGACACTTACAATGAGCTCCGAATCACGTCCCATGGAAATGACTGTTCTATTTACTGTCCTCAGTAGCTTCTCCATGATTATCTGGACATGCCGTTGCGTTGGTCCCTAGGGAAAAAGAACAAATTAGTGGCAACCACATAGAAGAGATACCACTACGATTCAAATATTTATGTTTGCCTTCAAGTCCACCTTTCTTGGGAAAGCTAAATAAAACATCACTTACTGCTGTTGATCAAAAGGAGAAAATTACGCTGTGATTTTAACAAAGACCATTCAAAGTCTACTTTATTAATATATGCTACCATAAATCTGAGTGTACTGTTGCAGTTATCTAAATGAAAAGCAAGTCCCTGGAAGTACAGCAAAGTGTATCGCACTTCATTACCGAACAGCTTCATTTTCCAAAGTCATTTTTTTCCCCCACATCAAAAGCCTAGAGCCACCAGCAAGGCCTGGCAGCCACTTCTGCAACAGAAATTCAGCTCAAGTGAAAGGCACTAACAAAAACAAGTAAAGCTTAGATAAGGAAATAATTGGCTGAATTTGAGGTTCAAATTAATATTTTTGTGTTAGAAGTGATCTGCCACTTTTTTGTTAGAGTTCAAAAATACCCATTGCAGCCGGCCTTTAAGAAGCTCAGAAATTCTGTGCAAAGTGAGGGGTGCAGAAACTGAAGGCACAGAAAGGGTAACGAGAAAAATGAGCTTCATTCCACCTTTTACTTCATCAAGAGAGGCTCCATCAGTACTTTCATCAGCCTGACGGACTGGTCTGCATGCAGGAGGGGAAGGGAGCAATTCTAAGGCCCAGCTTTAGAATCATGTTCCTAAATAAGCATCCAGAAAAAGCAGCATCGTTGCGTTGCTTCTTGAGCTTTTTTACAAACATTCTGATGAATCAATTTCTTCCTTGCCCTTGGCTCCATGCAATTACAGCCCCCCTGCCTGTCAGCATATTATGCGGGGCTACCAAAGGCATGTGTGCATATGCAGATATTCCTTTTTCACATATTTGAAGAATGATTCATCATCATTCACAGCTACTGTGACAACACAGGCTTTTCTTCCTGCTGCTGAAAGATCTGACTCTGGAATAAAGCTTGCATTTCTACTGCAAACAGCATCCACAGGGAAAAAAAACACATCTCCCTCTCAGTACTCTGTTCCTCTCTGCCCTTTGGTGCTCCCTTCTCTCTCAGGGATTTTCTCTGGAGAGTGTGAGGCGCTGCACAATCGTGGCTCCCTGGCCACTTCAATGTCTTTATGTCCTTCTCGCTGCAGCGCTTGCTTCCTCTCCCTGCTGCCCCCTTCTCTCCTGGCAAAGGGATCTGGCAGCGGCCAATGCTCAGTTCTGCTCCCAACATTCCCGAGCTCCTTCCCAGCCGGGCTCCCCTCCGTTAGCCGGAGGGCAGGAAGGGGGCGGCTGCTGCCAGAAGTGCAAAGGGACCAGAAGCAGCCGAGATGTCAGGAATGAGCTGAGCTCCCTTCTCGAGCAACAAGCTGCTCCTGAAGCTGTCACATCGGACCACTTCAAAAAGAGAAACAAAATCGGAATGAAGCCAAAAACATTGCCAAGAAAGACACTGTATGACCCCGGAGGTCCTTTCTGCCTAAATTGGTTGCAACCAATGCAAGTTGATGCTTCTACCTACCAGTAAAGGTTCAGGCAGCAATTTCATCAGCCCAAACTCCCTTCCTGCTCCAAGAGAGCAACAAGCGACTAAAGCTCCCCAAGAAAGCACCAACATTTACCTAATTGTATGAAGTCAAGAAAAAACAAAAATGGGCTATTCTGCAAGCTACACGTGCCCACAGCAGCCCAGGGCACAGAACAGCTTCTCATGTGCCACTGTATCACACCTTCACGTTCTCACTGCAGCAGCACTAAGAGGAGAAGCCACAGTCTAACTCAGGCCATCTCCTCCTGAGGTGGCAACATCCTCTCTGCAACTTTAAACAATACTTATGTATTTTGAATGAGTTTACTGCAGTGACAAAGCATGTGTCAAAGGTGTGTTTCCCAAAACATTTGTGGAAAATTGAATTTTCCACCTGATAGAGGCTGGGCACTGTGTAAGGAAGAGGCTTGACTCACTGTGTGCTTAATGTTTGGAAAAATGTTAGTGGATGATAGTGCTGTAAGAGGCACCTCAGAAACAGTGAGAAACATCAGAAACGGTGACAAACCCCGTAAGACACCACAGCCCTGTGAGTGCGTGTCTAGCAAGAAGACTTAAATGGAGAGGAGTCTGGGAAAAATAGGAAGAGGCAGGGAAGAGAAGAGAAAAATACACGAAGATCACCTGTTTAATCAGTCCTAGCAAGACCTGCTTCTGTAAAGTGCTAATCAATCTGGGAACACCAGATACTAACCACATCTTTCTTGTAGAGCACTTCCAGGATGTTACTAAGCAATTGGCAACAAGCCTCCAGGTCTTCTTGTCTTTCCAAGTGATACTTCAGCTGATCTGTCATCGTTGGCAGCAAGATTTCCCTGCAGTCTGCACACAAAACACATGGTTATACGCGCAGCTTTATAAATAGAGCATCACCTAAATATACAACCTGCTTCACATTTTAGAAAAAACATCACTTGCACATTTCCAAGGAGTCACCTGCATTTTAGCCCAAGAGATAAAAACCCAAGAAGGTCTCGAGCAAACGAGAATGGAGTCGTCAGGTTAAGAACACTTGAATAAACAGCATTTTTTCCCTGAAGGCCCCAGAAAGCAAGGAGAACAGTGTCCAGCACATCCAACCTGTTGTGTTTTAAGAAAAATATTCTTCATTCTCATGCAACTCCTGCACGAATGCAATTATTAGGAATGTGCAAGCAGGCTCTTATTCACAGAAAGCACTTTGAAGATTGGTTTCTTCAGTGCAGAATTTTCTATTCAAAGCTTCCTGATCATTTAACCTGCAGCTTTGCAGCTTTAAAAGAGGAGCAGGTTCACTGTGTCAGTAGAAATTTTTGCCTCAAAAAACAGGCATTAGATCCTGCCATGTATTTACCTAGGAAAAGAGGACTGGCCATGAATGTGTCGCATCTCCTCATACTCATTTTCATTAATATCTACCCTAAGTTCCCATTATTTGTTTATACATATTATGCCAGGATCTACAGAGATCCTAAATGCAAAAGTCAACAGTGAGCTCTACTATTTAACTAGCCAAAAAGAATTGATCAAAAATGTACTGAAACATATTTGGAAGAAAACCTTAAAGATGCAGCATTTTTGTTATTATGGTGTGAAAAAGTAGCATAAAAGCATAACAAGAACCCTTGAAGAGCTTATTTACAGAAACATTCATTAAATAATCTAAACTATTTATATGAACATAAGCGTCACAGCTGCCCTAGTATGGCAGGCAGTGAAATATGTGCATTTGAAGTAATGGTTTGCTGTCATGGAGTTTAAATGCATAGATTTAATTGGGGAGGGGGGGGAGGAAGAAAACCAGCATCTCCCTGAACAGAAAAAATATCTAGCTTGGAAAGCAAATTCCAACAGGCATCCCTGCTCATTGTGGCCCAGCTGCTGACTGCTTCAGCAGGGACACAGAGCCCCTCTCTGCAAGGCCTGCGAGGTGAATCAATCTTTAATAACTTAGAAAGGCCCTTAATGAGAGGTCTGAGAGCGCCTCACATGCCCGTTGAGCCCCACTGGTGGAGAATGCTCAAAGATCAATTCAGTGTCTGCAAGCCAGCACGTGGCACAGAGCTGGCCCAGGCGGCTCCCCGGGCACGCGGCAAGCACAGCGCTGGGAGTGCTGTGAAGGCCACCGGCCCTCCCACTCCGGGGGGAAGTTTGGGGCTACAGAAATGCTAGTGACACGCTTACTGGGAACACTAGCAGAAATTCGCTATATTTCCAGAGGAAAATTGGTGATAATCTGCATCTCACCGGTAACAAACACTTACAGCGTGGGTAATTTTTATATGCGAGTTCTTCCTGTCATTCAAGGCCTAGTTTCAAAACTAGAAAGGCAGGCGCCCAGCAACAGGCACTAGCTGGATTCTTATGGCTCAACTGGGACCAGCTTGGGACCAACAGCTTCCCTTGGTTCAGCCTGGGACCAACAGCTGCAGATCCTAGACTAGAGCCCCAACTTAAGGTACCAAATCAAGTGAAATAAGGGCTGGGCCGAGACTTTTGCACCCCACAGGACCTGGCTGTCTGGCAATTCTTAGTTATTCCAGTAGATCAATAACTTTGTCCCTCTGTTTTTTATGACACACAAAATTTGAAGGATCTTGCCTTGATTATGAACTGAAATACAAACAGCCTCTGGATTCAGCTACTGAAACGGCTGCTTCAATTTCACGGACAGTGTTGAGGCTCTCCAGGTACACCTAAGGCAACGCTCAAGGGCCAGAAGGCAACAAAAGCTCAAGAGGGACCCCACCACTATAAATACGTATTTCTGCAATGGCCACGTGCTCCACAAGACGACAAGGTTTTCAATGCATCCTTCGCTATAAACTACTTGGAAAACCTCTGGTTGATCAGCTCTACTTGGATTATTTAGAAGCACAGCACAGGAAAGGTAACCTCTGTCAGGCTACAGGATGAATCCCGATTCCCTGCACTGGTTAATGGGCATCGGGATAAAGCCACAGTCTGGGGCAGCCTCCAGCTCCAAAGCCAGCTCTGGAGAGAGCTCCTAAGCAGGAGACACAGCCATTACAGACAGCAATAACCCGGCATCTGCTCATCCTCGAGTGCACAAGTCCAACCCACAATGATTAATGCCACGGGAATGCGTGGGAGAATAAAATATTAATCTTTATAAAGGGACGCTCAGGAGGCACCATCAGCTTCGGAGTAGCCAAGCAGAGACGTCAGTGGAACACGGACCCGGGGACTACGTTGCAGCTAAATATGTGTAATGAATTTTTGTCAGTTTTGCAGATACTCTGACAAATGCATTTCTTTGTTTTATGGTTCATTTAGTTAATGCAGCCAAACGAAAATTACGCTTAATAACCTTGCTCCTTTCACACAGCATGGAGATAAAGATGATCATTTTAGTGAGAATTAAATAGTAAGGAATCTTATAAATGCTTTATGCTCTCTACTAATATTTAATGGGCAAACAACTTTCTAATAGAGAAATCACTTGATTTTCCAACTGTTGAAGAATACAGCAGCCACATGGCTCACTTGGTAATTAGCTTCAAGTCATTCGTAAAACAAAGCAACAGAGAATACAAACATCTCTACAGGACTGAACGAACCCCTGTCCAGGTACAACAAAATTCTGAGACCTCCAAAGACACTTCTCTAACTACTACGAGTATTAACGTATTGAGAACTGAGAACATGCACTAAGTTGCTATTGTCACTGCTCCACTCCATACTGCTGCATGTATTTGCACATCACATAAAGATTCACATCACGGTGGCAGTGATGACCAGAAGAGGCGTCTCTTATATGGGGTGGATTGAGGTCATTGCTGTTATTTTGGAGGGGAGAATGACATGAAAGGATGAAGGGAAGCAGAGCTGGTTAAGGGCAAAAGTTTTTTTACTCCAGATGCACAAAAAATCCTTTTCTGTGTATGTCATAGTTAGGTAAAACACCATGGTAGCGGTAATAGCTGTGTATAGATCCTTCTTATACCTATTTATTAGTATATGCTTGTTAACATACACTTACATGTTGGTTACACAGATACAAAATATGACATTACACAGGCAGAGCACAGGCTTGGAAAAATACGAAAAAATCCTGGAAGTCACCTGGCTGGTGCTGCCCTATTGAACACACACACATGCTGTGTTTAACACAGCTCTGAGCAGCCACATACGGATTTATCTTTTCCCTTTCCATACAAGGAAATCACATACAGATTTATGCATGTATTTATGTAACCACATACAGATTTATCTTTTCCCTTTCCATACAAGGGCTCAGTTATGGATCACTGTTAGGATAAAAGCATCAACATACAGGGATTGTACAGACTGCACTGGGTTTTCTTTCCAGGATGGAGAAAGTTTGTTTAAAAATAAGCTCAAAGTTCTAAAAGGAGAGAAGAGTTACCTCAAATGCCAGGAGGAAATAAACACTCCGCACTAAACATATAGCACAAAACAGCCAGAAAACAAGCGGACTGAACTGTATTTCACATCCATCTCCTTAAGACCTGCAAACCACAAGGCTACCAAACATTCCTATCCAAGCTCCCAACCATGCAGAGCCCAGGGCCGTCGCTGCCTCCTGCTTGGAGCACCAGCACCATCCCGGCAGCCTCCCACACCTCCCACCCCGCTCCTTGCAGCTCAGCAGCTTCCGTCTCTTGCATTTTAAGCCCTCTCAGGACACCCCTAACTCTTCCTGATCTCCCAGGGCGAAGCACTTGAGTCTTTCCCCCCTAAAACACACTGACAAAACGCTATCCCGTTTTCTGCACGTTCCTCAGCCTTCTATGAGTTCCACAATCCACTATTGCTCCTCAGAAACGGAGACCTCATTTGTGTAATACAATGCAGGATTGGTAGGCGATATTGTTGTATGAATATGCGATCAGTTTTAAATTGGCCTCTGCTCCTTCTCATTCATTCTCCAGGCTACAGACTCACGGGGCCAGGAAAGGTGGAATTTGACAGTGGCTGCAGCTACTGACTTGAGTTATGGTCTAGTGAATCTTAGTGTTTCTGAAAGTTTTCCTGAACAATTCATTCGCTGGCTACAAACAAGGTACAGAATCAGAGGCAAGAGAGGTCTTTGAGATATCTTTATCAAGACAGAAAAATATCTGAGGCCACTTATAGTCCTGTAAAGGGAGGGCAAGATAGTGCAGAAACTTTGCTAGCTCCAGCTTCACACCATTAGCAACACACCTCTGAGCAAATCTGCAAGGACTAGGATGTGATAGCATTTTCTTCACTTTTACTTTAAACCTGTTATAATTAACACAATAATTTTAAACTAACATTTAAGCTAAAAATTTAATTTTAAGCTATTTACAACCCGCCTACCTTCACCCACTCTTTCTTTTAAGTAGTCCTTTGCATTCCTATGAATCCCCTTCTGGGCCACCTGGCATGCAGAAGTACATGCAAACTTTGAGGGGGGGGGCTTTGTTTTTGCATATTCTACTTAATTAATCTTCATCTAATAGGAATGTGTAAGTAAATTGCTTCAACAAGCAGCACACAAGAGGTAAGCTTTAAGGAACAGTGTACTTTGCGTTAATATTCTATAAAAGCCAATTTCATGGACTAGTTTTAATTTGCTTTTTTAAGGAACAATTTTTATTTGATCCCTTTATTAACAGTGGAAAAAGGTTTAACGTGTATTTACACACCTACACATATGTACACACACACAGAGCCTACTCTGCTAAGTCCCAGGCACTAAATCCTTCAAAAGCCACGAAAAGCAACAAGAAGCGTAAGACATTTTCTTTCAAGTAAAATCTCCAATCCCAACTCCGGGATTTCCCTGGCTGCAGAGCTCGCAGAGCACACTACAGGCAGAGCTACCAGCCACGCTGTGGTTGCTGCTCTCTCCACCGATCACCAAGCTCAAGCTTTTGCTTTTCAGAATGCTCTACGCTCCCCAATCAAATCCACCAAAGACTAAAGCTGCCTAGAAATCTTCCTGTCGTTTCTTTCTTTCCTCACATTAATGATTTGCTTCCCCCCCCATCATTTCACAATGCTCACTGCGCAAACTAAAATAGATTTAACAAGTTAAATAAATTACGTGGGGGCTGTTGCATTTCACAATAAAAAGTGCCCTTCCGGGGCTTTTAAAGAGCTTATAAAGGTCCTTAAAGTTGTAAGCAGTGGCTGAAGGTATTAAGTTACTGGAAAGTAAAAGATTGGACCTTTCTTTACAGCCCTCTCCAGTATCGGATCCAGACATGCTTATATAAAACAGCATCCATGCAAGTATTCCCCTGTTGTTTAAAGTCCTTGGAGGATTCTCCACTATTCAGAATGTTTCATGAAACACATCACCTATAAACAAGAGAATGAGAAAATAAACCAAAGAAAATGAGTAATAAAACCCTGAGAGCTAACGTGTTTGGAAAGGGTTTTAAACTGTACTTACAAAATATACCCATTTTGTCTGAACGAAACACCATCCAAATGTCAGTTTGTTCTTTGAATGTTATTATTTATTGGCACAGGATCAAAATCAGAAGGAGAATTTCAAATGCCAAGCAAAAGCTGCAGGTCAAAAGCTGTAATTGCAGCTGTTACTCAGCCCCATGCAGTCCCACACCCCCAGGAACACGGAGCCGACCTGCACCAAGCGGAACACGAATCCTGTGGAAATGCAGAGCACGTGCAGCACGGGCTGTACTTGCCCTCCCACTTCTTGCTAAGCACAAGAAAACTCATGTTAGTAGGTGCAGGCCAACGTGCCATCGTCGTGGTTAGTCATCACCCAGCCTACTGGGAGGCCTGGCAGCACGGAGCTGATCTAAAAGAAAGCCTTTACAGTCGGAAAAGTTTGTTTTATCAGCGCTTTGTATCACAGATCCTCGGCGTTTCTGCCCTGACAGAAGAATACTTCAAATTTCTCTATGCTTGGATCATTACCGCCTATTGCTCCCTCATTATGTTCTTCTGAGGGCAAATAAACACTTGGTTCAGCTTAATGTCACCTACAGGCACCTGGGGAAGAACCAAGGGGTTTACCTTCAATTGAGGGATCTGTGAGATGACCACCTGAGCTTATCATGCACTTACCTGCTAATTTAAAAGGAAAAGATAAGCGCACAGATGCTCACCACACTGAGGGGTTTATACAGTTTTACTTGAGGTAAGAGACAGCTTTATAGGGAAAGAACCGTGCTTCGAAAGAGACACCAAATCTTCCCTTTGCTGCAAAACCTCACTGAGCACAAAAGCAGAAATAAGAAGTAATTTGTGGCAAAACGACGAGTTCCTGCCCGCAGAGTGGGGCAGGGCGCCCGGCCCGCTCACCGTGCTGCGTGAACAGGTCGCTGTGCACGATCTCGATGAGGCAGTAGAGCTTCTGGATGGTCAGCCGGCTCACCGGCACGTTCAGGATGAACTCCGTGAACAGCTTGCTGGGAGCAGAAGGACAAGTAAAATATCTACTAATTTCTCCAAAGTACATCATATTTAGAAGAAAAAAACCCACACCACCACACTAGCACAGCAGCTGCTAAACTGAATACTTTCAGACAAAAAAAAACTTTTTTTTTTAAAGCACATTGGAGGTAGGCAACTCAGTTCACATTCCTCTCAGCAACACATTTCCTCTTGGTGCCTTTCTTTTCCTTCTTTCATTTCTTTTGCCTCTCTGAGGCATCACAATACAGAAATGAAACAGGCAAGCATTTCTGCAGTCAAATTAGAAAAAAATCATTGTTTTTCACAGCAGTATTATGAGGCTCTTACATTAAAAGTGAAAGCATTTTTATTATTATTATTATAAAAAATGCTAAAGCATTAGTCTTTATTTGGGTCTCTCTCTAAAGCCTTCCTATTACCATTTGTGTAGACTCCTGTCACCATTTATGTGTTCCAAAGCTACTAAAATGTCCCCAGAAACGGACTTGAACACACAACAGAGTTGTTATTAGTTAAAACCAACTCATATCTCAACTACCCCAATGCATCTCTTTGCCTGATTTTACTATGCAAGCCTGCAAGGTTTGTCAAGAGATGCCAGACCTCCACGCTACTCATTTACACGTATCTCTGGTAATTATATTTCATTCCATCAGAGCTTTGAGACACTAGTATTGTAATACAATTATATACTAAGGTTATGTTAAAATATGTAATTTAGACCACAATAAATCTCATTAAATCTACTTACCTAAGTTCCTTTGGATCAAACACTAATTTCACATCATTGACAATTGCTGGCAGGTACTTAAGTGCTGCCCCCTAAAAAATAAAAGCAAACAGGACGGGAATTTATAGCTTGCTAAAGCTGGAAGAAGAGTTATGAGAACAGAATCACATCCGAAGTTGCTTTGGCTGAATTATTCACCAGACCTTCAGCCGAACCACTGTAACTTACTCTTAGCCCAATTTACCTAGGGGATGAGTGGCCTTAGCTCCTCTAATCACTTCATCTGCAGGGCTGGGGAAAGCTCCTTCTCCTCCTCCTCCTCCTCTCTGCCCTGCCACAGCTGTTTGGGCTGAATTCTGCCTCCATTATTTAAATATAAAGGAGAAAAGCACTATTATTGTTTCCCCTGCTATAAACCCTTAGTAAGCCCCAGCGAGGCTGCAGTTCTCCCTCACTCCCCTTGAGCCTCCTGCGGTCACTCTGGGGCACTGTATATAATAATGCAGTGATTCAGAGCATACACATTAGTACACAGAGAGGCTGAATGAATGCCTTAACTATTCATATTCCTACACACTTCTTTTGGTTTAGGGTTCTTTCTACTTCTTAGTAACAGTTACCATAGTTATCAAGTTATTTCCAAAGCAAAGGTTCCCCACCTTCATCATTAGTAAAAAAAATTAATGAATGAAAATCCAGTAGTTAAAAATCCAATCCCTTGTTCAATTTAATAGCTAAAATAATTCTGATGTGAATAGATTAGAATACATTTTTGGTTACAGCACAGTACTGAGCTGACCTCTAACAACACTCAAGCCACAAATCAGCCACACAAACAGGAATTTCAGTCATTTCAAGGTTTTTTCCTGCTTCCATTTGCAAAAGGACTGAAGTGTCACACTTTGTTCTGCTCCCCTTATGTCTACAGTAAGGCCCATTTCGGTCTTGCTTCAACGCCAAAGCTGAGCAGACATTGCACCCGTGAGAACCACACACAAGTCGTTTTTGTTGCTGTTCAAAGTCATTGACTGTTTGAACGTTAAGAAGCCTTTAAGCCTCTTTTGCCTCCACAAGCAAGCCTGAGAGGAACACGGTGATTCGGAGCAAAACAGCCAGACCTGTCATTTCGCTCTACGTTTTACTGATAATATTGAGCAGCTTGATTACAGATGGTTTTCAGCCCCCAAAAGCAGGATGGTTTATTCCCTGGACTGGTTCGTTCAGCACTCGTGTTTGCAGTTCAAGAGCAGCATGTACCCACAGTCCTTAGAAGACAAGACCTTACAGTTTTCTTTTTCTCAGCTCTTTTTCAGCTTGAAACCATTTGTTATCACAAGTAACTCCACATTTTTCTGACCAGAACATTTGCATTTCTCAATGCAGGTCTCACACACACACACACACAAAAGAAAGGCAAGCAAGGGCCACCACGCAGGCACCCGGTGCGATTCCCATCTCCAAACTGCTCCTCCGCTCTGCCACCAGCCTCCTCATTTGAACAGGAATTACATTATTCCCAAACAGCCCAGGTCAATGGTTTGATTACAGTCCCAAGCGCCACCTCAGCCCAAAAGTTAAGTAAAAAAGGAAAAAAATATTTAGTTTAGACTCCACTATCAATCAAGTATTTTAGCTGTCTTTCCAGCTAAAAATACAAGTACCATTAATGATTAATATGTACTATTTTAGAGCAAAGTTCAGGTACATTATGCAGTGTAATTATTTTAATTAAATCATTTACATAGCTTTAGGTAAGATTACAAGAGGTATCAGTGATACAAAGTAAGTAGTTTTGTGAATAATGCATGAAGCAGCCATTAATTTACATATTTCTCCCCCCCCCTCCAAAAAAAGCAGATTAAAGGGAGTTTGGTAATCTGCCCAAAGACAACATACCCAGGCCTGCAAACATGGCCAAAAATGCAAGTTCAGGTGGTTCTTTCCCACAGATGACCAAGAGCCACTCACTAAATCAAAGGGCTCCGTGGTGCCAGGGACAACAGGACTGTGGCCACCAAACCTCTCTCCTCCTTTCTGCCTTTGCTCACAAGATATCGGCCTTAGGAGATGCCAGCAGGACATGGTAGACACTGTAGACACCAGCATGGGAAGAGATGAAGCATAAGAGCCAACTGAGGAAAGAAAGCAGGTACTAGTTGGAGGAAATGGTCAAACAGAAGAAACTCTTGATCCTTCTGGAGGTCGCTCATTCCCTCTTGGCACTAGCAGAGCTGGGATGGCATCAGAGGTGACCGATACCTGTCACTCCCCTTTCTGAGACACTCGGCCCTTGGACAAGTGGCCTGGCTCCCATTTAAGATTGTTGTGTTGTTGTTTTCCCGGTCAGGTCAGGGGGCAGTTGCTGGGTTTGACTGGGTCTGCCCCAAGGAGAGGGTGCTGGCTTTGCCCTGGTTGGTGCAGCGACCCCACGCTGGGTGCGCCCGGGGTGGAACCCGGTGCTGGGCGAGCAGGGCTGGAAGCCCGGCGTGTGTGCTTAGCCATTAAGCACACACACCGTTTCAAATACACTCATGCACTCTTCTGCAGTCTGAAGAACTGCAGAACACATGAAGAACACATTTTTGAGTATTCTTTATTAAAATATTGCTAAGAGAACAAAAAAAAATTCCAAGGCAAGACCACTACAGCACATACTTGATTTTGCCCTAGAACTCTTTGAGTAAATACCCAGCACACTTCACCTATGCTTGGCTCAAATACAAGAGTTGTGCCACAGTATTGAGAAAAGCAAATACCAAAACACTCTCCAATAGAAGTAATAAAATAACTGTTGAATTCATCTGCAGAAGCATTAATGGTAAAAACGGTTTAAAGAAAGGGGGAAGAGATCAGTTTTGACTTCCGAAGCCCCCAGGGCTCTGCTCCCGCAGGATGAGCTCTCCACCACAGGACGACATCTCCCAAATAACCTCAAGCAGCCAACGTGGAAAAACTTGCCCCTGGTCCTGGCCGCTCTCACAAGACGGGGGAACATCAAAGCCATGAGCAATCTGTCAATGGGCTGCAGGCAAATTTCAAGGCATTCTGATTTTATTCATAGCCCATTTAAAGCGTCAGGCTTGATCACCGAGTGTTTCCACGTATGCTTAAAGGACTACTTACATGCTCAGAAATCACACTCGTAACTGTAATTATGCAAATAGCCCCATTATGTGCACGCTTATGTGTTTTGATGGATGAGGACTCTAATGACCAGTTACAAACTGCAGCCATCGCTGTGTTTTTATTTGCTTATCATTCAAATGCATGTAGCAATAAATGTTTAGTAACACACACACTCCAAAGGAGAGCTTGTCTTTTATATTTTGAATTAAAAGTTTGACACTGTGACAGCACAAAGTTAACACTTGGATGGCTTGGATGAGGTGCTCACAGGTAAAGCCACCTGCAACACCACTTGAGTGCCTGTTCCTACCACAAGCTCCAGCCGTTTCAGCTTCGCTCCACAGACCAAGGCAGTCTAGTATCTTAAATTTTAAAGTACATTTTCAAGATGTTTACCACTTTCTAATTGCAACTGGCAACTACAAACACACAATTGTACCAACATGCACTATCGTAACAGCAGGATAGTACAAGTAGGGTCTGTAACCACAGGAGTAAACCTGCCTCTCTCAAGTGAAAGGTCCACCAAAATTACTTGTCACTGATACTAACTTTTGTAAAACACCTGCTTCAACTTCAGCTTTTATTCTGTTCAAGCCTGCAGCTACAAGAAAGAGGTCTTCATTAGCAGAAGCCCAGTTACAACACTGCCTCAGTTCTCTGCAGGACAAAATTCTCAGGTTTTCTCGTTTCACACGATACTCGTATTTCTGTCCTTAAAATGTGGCAACCACCTCGCTACCTAGGGCAGCCTTCCCTTGAGACCTCTAGATCTCCTGATGCAAAGGGAGACGAAAGACAATAACAACCATTACAACACTCACAACTGCATATAGATGGGGCACAGAAAGAAGATGCCTCTTTATTTTTTCCTCTTAGAAAAGGATAAGAACCCAGAAAACACAACCACCATCTGGAAGAGCTACCTCAGTGCAAAGTTCCCAAGCTTCCCATTCCCACATGCGAGCAGGGAATACCAGCAGCGTTCCCAGATGAAGATGGACGCTCAGACATGTGCCTCCCATTATGGTGCCTAATGTTTCTCCTTCGGAAACGTAAGCTCCTACATCCTTGACTCTGGAATTCACTTGAGGGCCCAGGAAACAAGGGGGGGGCACAACTGTGTTTTGCAGGTGCTGCAGACTGGTCATCAGAGTGTCTCTCCTCTTCTTTTAACAGGTTTTTCTCTAGGACAAAGTGTAGGCTTATTCCCCCAACTTCCCTTTGTTTAGACCAAAAAGAAACAGCAAAATAGCAATGAAAACTTCTTTACAGTAATAGTTAGAAATTGCAATACTAACTGCAGGCTGTAGTAAAAACATTCTGAACAAATTCAGAATAGTTTGTCACCTGATTTGTCTAGCATTTAAATTCAGCTATTTGTACCGCATAAAACCATAAGCATCCTGCTTAAAAATATCATTTCCAAATATCATTCACTTCAAATTGCACATCTAGCCTTAGAAATAGGACAAAGAATCATTCCCAAATATAAGGTATTCTTACGAGCTCTTGTATGGCGAAGCAATAAAATTGCTTTAGCTGACTCAGCCCGTGCCTGATCTTAGCGGTTAATTTTCATCTTTTACATCACTGAAGACCACAGACCTCGTGCATGACGACCCTGGCTGGATGAGATGGTGTCGCTTCAAACGCAGCCAGGGCCAGGCGGACGGCACCGCGAGTCGCTGGGTCCCCGGGTCCCATCGCAGCAGGAGGTTTCACGCCAGGCAAGGCCTGAGCACGGGCAGCAGGGCACTGCCTGTCCCCAGAGGTTACTGCGTTGGTTACGAGGTGCCAGCCTTCCCCAAGTAAATGCCACAAAACTTTGGATATCTCAGCCCCGGGCTGCACATTGGTACTTACTTTCAATGGTGGTTATGAATATTTAACCTGCTGGAAAATGCCTGCAAGACTACTTACTGCCCCTGGGTTATGTGGGGGCTTCTGTTTGGGGAGGTTTTTGTTTGTTCCAACAAGCTGTACATGAGCAGCTTGTAACATATTTCAGTAACCTGATTGCATTACTTTTCAGTGGCTTAAGCAGTAAATGCTTATTGTCAGAAGAAAATAAAATACAGCATGAGCTCTGAAGCATGTGCATTACGGCTTTAATAAGGACAAGGATTGTAAGAGCCCACACAAGCGACATCCTATGAATGAAACGTTACCTTCTCCGCCCCAGGCCTCACATTACAGGATACAAGCAGGTATGTAAAGTTTTCAAGATTATTAAAAAAGTGCAGAGAACCCATCTTCTGTTTTGTTTTTCCAGCCAGGCTGAAGCCAGCCCAGGACCGGGCAGAGCAGCAAACGCTCCTGCAAGCGGCAAGAGCCCCGCTGAGCGGCTCGGCTGCCCCCGCACCACGAGCTACAGCCACAGTCCTCAAACCTGCTGCAGCTGCCTCTGCTGCCCTCCCTGCACAGAGACGCAAGAATAAATTGCTAGGAAACATTTGCATTTTTATCTAAACTCGAAACATCGTGCTAAGCTTCAGCTGAGCTCAGGCTTAAGCAGTAAAAGGTTAGGGAAATCATTATCATGCACCAATTAGCAGAACATATGAATAAGAAAAAAATATATCAGGAAGCTCACTACACCTGCAGCCATTAAAAATATGCATATGCACCAAATGCTATGCAGCAGATAAGTAAAAAAGCACTTCATGTAAGAGAACACTTAATACTGAAGCTGGTAAGTAAAAAAACCACAAGCACGAATGTACTTGAAAAACAGTTTAATCTTTGCACACATCAAGCCCCAGCAGCAGTCTACTATCATGCAGGTTAGTTAGAGGCAGACCTGGAGCATCTGTCAGCTTAAATCAGTGTTTTAATTCCCCTCGCTGGCTGGAGGGGCCCAGGGTTCAGCAGGAAGCTCCCAATGCCTGGGGAATGACACGGAGTGAAAAGCAGCCTCCAAACTCCTGCGCAGAGGGGCTGACACCAACCCAAACCACCCTATTCACCAAGCAGCAGCAACACAAACTGCGCTGCTTTAAACACTCCAGTTTATAGTACATCAGTGTTTCAAATTCAAGGCTAGAGTGCTGGCTTTTGCTGCTTTTGTATGAAAATTTCATTCTTCTGAAGCTTTATGTTTACATAGCAACATATTTAAACAGGCCTTTAACCGCTACAAACACTAACAAATCTTTGTGCAAGTTTAGATGTGAAAATGTTTTTATTTATTGTAAGAACATGTAGCTGAGGCATTATGAGTCAAAGTGAATTTCAAATATTTATAAACCGTTATTTTGCAATGCCAAGAGCTCACAAAATGAAACAGATCTTGATACCCTGGAAAAAATAAAAATTAGTTTTCTCCGTGCCTATGCCAGGCACCAACCCCAAGGAAATATATTAAGCATTTGGCGACCGGCCCTTCAGTCAAAGGACAACTAAGAAAGCCGGAGCGGGAAGGCTGACACAGGGGGTGACTCTCGGGGAGCCCTTTGGTGCCTGCGACCCTGTTGGAGGGAGCCCTGGCACAAGGAGCAGGGGCAACTGGGGCCGACTGGTGCAACAGGCTCAGCCAAACCCCGCCAGCTGCAGGGCTGCGCAGCAGGGCATCCACAGCAGTGCAAAGCACCCAAAGCAACAGAACATACAGTACAGGAGAGCAGCCTACAGAAAACACTCTTCATGTCCAATATCCTTGTAGGAGGAGGTGGAAAGCATGTGTCCACATCAACCACGTATCTAAATTTTTCCCTACAAAGTTAAAAATATCATAGACTTAAGGGTAAAAAAAAATCAGTATGTCTTTCTGTACTATAGCCTTATACATTAATTTAGCTTTCTTTAAGCTATTTTTCTATGAACTCAAATTTGGGGACAGGGGAAGGAGGAGCACTTTAAATACAAAATACTTCTATCCTTGTGGAAATGTAATATTTAAATAGATAAAAAGTAATTTTTGCAAAGAACATAAGGATTAATCACTCCTCCCCAGCGCAAAGTCAGTTTAAACGCCTATTCTCTTAACAAACAGGCTGAGACTTTGCAGTGGTCATTCTGCTTCATGTCGATAAAATATCAGGACAAATTATAAAATTTACAGAAGAGAAACAGCTATATTCCGATTTATGAATTGAGCACCCCTCTCTCAGGGTGTAAAGCACTTTAGTTTTCTGTGTAGGTCTTTTCAACTTCTTATCTCTTCTATACACCTTTCAGCTTCCCCCAAAACATGCTGAAGAAAAAGAAAAAATCCACACACAGGAACCAAAGCTGCTACAGCTGGATCTGCAGATCGTCGCTGCACAATAAGCCTGGCAACTTAACTGCTTATCTTCAGGAGTTTTCTAAACCTCTAACAGGCAATCCAGCAGCACAAGTGTTTTCCACGTCAGACTAACGGTTCCTCCAGCCCAGAGATCCGTCTCCAACAGCAGCCCCAGGAGATGCTGTGTGGAGCCAAACCAGCTGTTCGTGGTCCACACGCCTCCCGGCACCCCGAACATCTTTTAGAGTGTCACTAGCTGTCCTTTTAGGACATTCACAGACCTGTGGTCTCTAAATCCACCCAGCTGCTCTGAGGCCGTTGATCCCACCCGCATCCGTAACCTCCTGTGACGATGACTTTTCTTCCGTCCGTTTTAAGCCGCCCTCCCGCTGGTTTCAGCTTCACCGTCACGGACACGTGGCGGCGGGGCTGAACGACACAACGCGCGTCACTCGTGTGAAAGAAACAGCAACGGGTTTTACTGATACGGGCAGCGTTTTCACAAGGCTCTACGGCCAGGTCACTGGTTATTTACTGCATGGGGTTCAAGATACACACAGAATTGCCAAGGAGACCCTCCCGTTGAATCACGAGGCTCAGGCTGGACACCCTTGCTCTCCAAGCCCTTCTGAGAGGAGTCTGGCTGCGGCTGGATCCAGTTCTAGCACCAGACCTGGTCAATGACTTATGACTAAGGAATTTTGTGCACAAAGTAACTTTCATTTAGTGAGGTTTACAAGTTCCAAAAGCAGGAGAAAGCGCTATAGTTCCTCAGCAGGGATCTGTCGTGGCAAGGGAACTCAATCCTGAGGAGTCTCCTTGCAGGCCTCCCTGCTCAAGGGGGGACCCTGACGTGCAGCCAGGCAAGGAGAGCCCAGTGGGCTCCCAGGCCCTCCCCGTATTTATGGGATAAGACAATTGACTTAGTCATTCTTTCACTTCAGGTGACTTTGGGCTGGTGCAACTAGCCTTATCTCCCCATCAGGATGTGACAGAAAACCAGTGTCCACCAAATGTTTTCAGACAAACTCATACAGGTCTATGTCACCTATTTTCAATTACCACTTAACTACTTTCTAGTGGTTAACTATGGACTGTAGATGTGTCCTACCCAAGTTTACATGGATTCAAACATTAAACAATAGGCGGATCAGGATACAAACTGCAGTCTCTAGCCTTTGTTAACGAAGTTTTTATTTGCATTTCAGTTGAACTCAGCAAAATCTTTTTTTTTTGATATTTGATGTAGTAATTTCTCCAAGGCATAAGTCTATCCAAAAAGAAAAAAATAAAAATCAGCTGCATCCACCTTCCCAAAGCAGGTGTCAAAAGTGGGCCTGAGGAAAATAAATCTTGCATCCAATCCTCATAATCTGAAAGTGTTCTATTTATAACACACTGGATATCACATCCAAAGTCACTGACACTGCAGCTTACTAATTTCCATTCACTATAGTGGTTTGCCAGGGGGATGAAAACAGCTTTCTTGAAATATGTAATATTCCTATACTGTTATCAGATTTTACAGTCTCAGTTCTGCCTTTCAGACCAAAATATTCCAACTCGACAGGTTTATCCCCACTATCTATTTTTGCTATGGGCTCAGCAGCTGTGGGCTCAGCTCAGCTTAAGAGCTGCATGTGTTCAGTTACAAAGGATCTTTCTCTTTGACTTAGGTACTTTCTGCTGTACTCTTTCCAGCTTCCTTCAACAGGAAGGTCTTGCACAACACACTACTTAGTCCCAGTCTTTTGGTGCTCCCAACTGCTACAGATAATTCCTCCAAGGCAGAAACACCATACACATACAGAACTGTAGCGTTCTCCCGACTTCCAACCCAATTTTCAGCCCCTTTCTGATTGTCCTATTTCAGCCCATTCAGCACAAGCGAGTCAAGAGCTAGGTCCTTTGATAACTTCTATCACAACCACAGTGACTGAAGAGCTGTTTACCACAGTCTGGTAGCCAACTGGTAAGCTGGTTTACCAGCAGAACATGACACTGGAATCGATGCATTGGCTGCTGCGTTGGCCTCAGACTAGACAAACTCTAGAACATCTACAATTCAATGCTGCTGCTTTGCAACACTAACATCCATGTTCATCCAAGGTCAGCTGCAACCTTCCCAATTCAGGGACCCAGCTACTTCGACCTAAACGTCCCTACAAGCGGGCATCATATTAAAGGGAAAACAGAAGAAAGATGTTGACGTCTGAATCCCTCCTAGTCTTCCACATGATACACGTCCTAAGTGCTAAGGCACCGTATCACAGCCATTGCACAGTCTAGGACAAATACAGGTGCCTATGACGATCCACACTGTCATGAGCATGTGAAGGGTAATGCCTTAGAAGGAGGTTACACTTAATATCTTAAAGAAGTGAAATAAGCTGAAGTTTATTTGATCCCTAACTAAATCCTGCCCACAAACAAGCAAGGCACCTGCAGCAATATAAGTAAGTTTCCTTGTATCGAGCACGTTCTTTATACAGTCAGTCTTTCTAAGAAGCCTTAGGTATTAACCATATTTGAGACAAAAATGCACTCTTGGGTGCAAGTAAAAGCATATGCTTCATCAGTGACCTCACTATGGTTTCCCAGCTCAAAGACGAAATGTTTTAATCATGATGTCACAGGATGCAGAAGGAAAGCCAGGAGAGAGACCTCTCAAGAACATACCTTCACTATGACCGTTTGGTCAGAGATGCTGCTCATCATCTCATTGATGGACTTGAATAACTGCAGCAACGACTCCCTGAAGTCGGCCTCGCCTTTATTTTCATAAAGTCTGCAAAATAATGACATATATTGTAAGCACAAGCTAGCCAAAAATGGTAGTACAAAGTCAGTTGTTCAAGTGACAGATGACAACTCTTTAACAAAAAGAAACCTCCCAATTTCTACAAGCTTCTTCAATCGAGACCTCCTGCGATGGATCAACCACAGACCACCACTGGGCTTCAGAAGTAATTTCCTTAGCTTACTTTCCCTCCTGTCATTGATCATATGCATGACTCGTCTGTCTAAGGACTGTCACAAATATACTTCTTACTGATGATTCAATTTTACTGATCTCTGCAAAATGCAATTAAGCTCCACAGACAGAATATGGCCCAAAACCAAGAGAAAAAATGGGGAAAACAAGATACCTGGGTCACATCCAACAACTGGAACTTCTCCCTGACTCACTCCACACTCCCTGTCCTGGCTGGAGTGTCTCAAAGTGCCGCATCCAGGGGCACCTCTGGGACCTTCCTCTGGGAAACACCAGCAGAGCTCCCTCCCCAAGCACATTCCAGCCACCCCTCACCTGCACCTGGACTGAGAGCCACTAAAGCAGCGCTCAGGACAAGGTTCTCCTCCTTTTCCACCTTCTTCCTTTCCAATAGGGTTTCAGAGAAAGCAATGGAAGAGAGGCTGGAACACGGCACTCAGCATCGCTTTTCCAGCTCAGAAAGACCACTTACTCGGGTATTTTATATATACATTCTTATTACATCTTCATATTTGAAAATAATCAATATTTTGACTCATGACAGATCACCTACTCTCACAGCAGGAAAAGGACATGTCTTTTCAAGTGAAATACAGAGATCAGAATGTTCTTGCTGCTTTACACATACCATCTTTAGTGCTGTCTTCATAACTCTGTTGGGAGCCACAGATATTTTAAAAAGCTACTTAACTAGTACACAGGGGAAATAACGCTACAGAGAAATTATTAAATTGTGTTAGTCTGTTGTGCAAATTTCTCTTCTCCATTTAGGCTACAAGTGGGGGCTACACAGCTCAAATTATTTGTTAACTCCCAATTTCAATAAGAGATTTCAGTGTTTCCCTGAACAGATTAGAGGTGAAACCAATATCAATAAAAGGGGTAACTAAACTTGGCAGTCCAATAAATCAAGTTTCAGACAAAAACAAAAAGCTTTGGTTTCAAAAAAAACAATTGGTAATGAAAATAAACAAGTTGGCAACAGATGTGTTTCTACTGCGGTCACTTAATATCCATTTTTTCAGTACACCTGGTAATGAACAAAATCCACCAACTATGAGAGAAATAGCATTACACCAAATAGACAGTTTTTGCTACCATTTTTAAATAAAGCAGAAAAGATGCAACCTAAGCAGAGTAAAAGCAAAATAAGGAATAATTTAGCACGCAAATCAAGTAACTGAAAGGTATTTCTAAAGTTTAGAGTAGTCTGCCTTTACAGACCTTGGTAAACAGGACACCTCCAACCCCTAAATAGATTAACTAGGGCTTAACTAGATAATAGATAAATCTGTGGAAGACCCAGTTAATCCAGAACTGAAGCTTGCCTCGCATCGCATTTCTGAAGTGTTGCACACGTTCAATCCTGAACTACATTACTCTGAGTTGAAAATATGTAATCATTTTTAAGCTTCATAAAAGGCTGTGTGTTGACATTTTTCTGTAAAAGGCTAACAATAAGAGTATTTTTGAGCAGTGCTATACTTTACATTATAATCATCTCAAACAATCACAGCCCATAGGCAGGATTTAAGTCTCAGAGCAGAACAAATTGCGGTGTCAGTCAACATCGAGCAGCTTCTCCGACGAAAGCCAAGTCACTGAGAATTGCCTTCTAATGCTCAAGCTCTCTGAATTAGTGCTTAGCACGAGGAAATCCAATGGCCAATATTACAGGGTCGTTTTGTCTGTAAATCTAATCTACAGCAAGAGAATTATTTTTTTTTCCTCTTTTAAAGTGATTTGCAGGACCAGCAATAATAAGTGACATACGGTATTTCATGAATCTCAATGCAAGAATATTACAGAAATAAATTACTTTCTCTAATTTAGAGAAAGGATGGTGAAGTTGGTGACTTCAGAGCTTTACATAAATGCCTTGTAATAAGTTTGTTACCGCCTGTAAAAGGACTGCATCTAAATTAAGACAAATTCATCCTGAACCTGCTGATAACTTTTTTCATATTTTGAACACAAAATAGAGTATTGACTTCCAAATTAACTGAGAGTAATTACTTATACTTGACTTTATGGATAGACACTCACTTCAGACAACACCAAATGAATCAACAGTGCCGTTCACTATGCAGGAAATTGAGTGTGAAGTTAAAACCCAACCTACCCAAAGTCCCTCTGCTCCCCTCTCCCCAGGGCTGCTTCCACATTGACAGACATAAAAAGAGCTTTCAGAAAACACCCAAATGGTTTCCTTATTAAAAATAATAAATATCACCCTTCAGAGCAGAACTCCTGCAGGCCTCCCCTCCAAAGCCAAGGACAAGCACTGCCTGTGGGCCCTGATAAACAACCTCCAACGGTGTCTTTTTCCTATACAGCTTGGTTCAAGATGAAGGAAGCCTGACTCTCAGGGAATATTTGTCTCCTGAAGTAAACACTAGCACATTAAGATGTCACTAAAACAGTAAAACAGGCAACAGTATCTTCTGTTCCCTATGTGACTCTATAGATGATTCCACAGTGCAAGATGGAACAGCAGTTTAGCTTTCATGGGCTTAGAATGAGCACTACCTTTAATTTTGACACATTTTACATGAAATTACCATTCAAAAATTTATTTCCCATGCCCCCTTTTTTTAAAAATGGAAAAAAAGCCCAACTCACACACACACAGGTCATCATTTTGATAGAAGATGGACCAAAACCTGCAACCTGCTACACAAGATTATTATAAACAAATAATTTAGCATTAGCATGTTGACACCAGCCACTTCATCACAACAGCAATGTAACGAAGTCAGAAGTAGCTCAATACTATCAGCTACCACCAAGGCAGAAATAGTATCCCAAGTAACCCAGCAATCACCATACTTACTGGTTGAACAATATCCTGGACCGTACTATGAACTTGAAGATATACTCCAAAGCTTTCATAGCTTTAAAAAGCTGGTCAGTGATACCACACTTCTCAGCATTATCCACATAGGTCTTTAAAACTTTAGTGAGTTTTCTGTTTAAAAGAAAAAAATACAAGTTATAAGGACTAACAATCAAGAAATCAGCTTTAATGGTTTTAAAGAAGAGTTACATGCCCAAGTAATACCCACCAAGTCCCAACTTGTGCAACTAATGAGCGTTTATTAGGTTTTTGCTTATGAGTAGTTGCAAATTGGGACAGTCCTTGGCACATTGTTCTTGACAAACGAAAAAGCAAAAGCAAACAAACACTATCACATCCTCCATTTCAAAGGTAATTCAGCCATTCTTGATAGGATTATTTTATATTGGATATTTTGGGATGCTTGGGTTAAAGGGCTATTATAGAGATGCAGCAATTAATAACAACAGTAATCAAAAAAGTATAAAAATAAACACCTGATAGAATTATAAATGAGGAGTTTCCTCTTCCAAAAAGCCCTGCCTTTTCCATAGCTATTCCAGGGATTGGGGGATAGAAGCTGTGAAGTTTATTTTTCAAAACATATATAACAGTAGTTGGAAATCCTCCTATTCTGTATTCTAAGGATTCCAAATTTGGAAGCGATGCCCTTCTAAAAACAGCACCACCCCAAATAACTCACTTCCAGCAAGGATAAAACAGTTGCTGTAATGTAACTACGACAACTCCCATTTAAAATCATTAACTGCAACTTGTGTTCTAATACACACATGAGAAGTATTAAGTACAACATTATCTACTTCTAACCGGAAATAAAGCTGAGCAGACAAGTATTTTGATAAACATGCATTTATCTTAATAGAAATAAAAAGGCTACAAATTTCAGTATATAATCCAGAGAACTTCTCTTTAAATAAACAAACTTGTTCTGAGTAAACAAATAAATAAATGAAGTAGAGGAGACAGATGTGGCTCCCTCACTGAAGTACTGGTGGGTAATTCTCAAGTATGATTGCTGTTTCTTACTTCACTATTTTTATGAGAATAAAAAAAAACATGAATATTCATAAGCCAAATCATCATTTCCTTTAAAATTATAAAAAGAATAAAGCTTTCCATGGGCACCAAGGTAAAGCTCTTGTTTCAGAAGAGAAAGAAACACTGTACTTAATCTTCTTCTAATAGCTTCCTGCCTTTAGAATACACGGACAAACACAAATTCCTATTTAAACTACTAAGTGAATATAATATTAGGGGATGGGCAGAGAACCACATTAGACTCCTATTAGGGAAGAAAAAAATAGTTTTAAAGCTTACGTGTAGGCCAATGTAGCGCTGAAATGCTTCTTAATGTAGGTTTCCAATACAGGGTTAAAGTGTTGAAATTTTCTGTCAGCAATCAGTCCAATGATAAATACCTGAAAAATGAGCGTAATTGTTACATTAGCCTCAAAAAAATCTTTAGTTCTCTACATTCAGCAGTCATTGCTTTCAGATAAGCATTAAAAGCAGGTGGAGACTTTGGGGTTTAGTTATTCTCCCAACATTTCTATCTTATCCTTTCCTGTGAAAATTTTCTGTTCTTAACAGGAAAAGTTTGTCTTGACATGCACACACAGTTTTAGAAATGCCCCATATCCCCTAAGACACATGAACTTCATTTTTTTCTGTCCTTACGGAGAGGACGACACAAGTCCAACTGAACTTTTCAATGTATTAACTACCTTCCACACATTAAGCTAAATTAACAAATCAGATCTCATCAGATAAGAACACCATATTGATTCATCAAGTCATCACAGTATCTCAGACTAGTCCCTCCACAGCGAAACAAACTTACCAGAGCATCAAACACTAACGTGTCAAACGTCTCACTCTCCGAGTTCTCCATCATTATGTTAAAAAGTGCATCCAATGTGTCTTGGAGAAACTGCAAATAAATACTCAAAGTCAATATTTTAAAGGGAAAAAAGAAATTCCAATTTCGCGTATACCTAGAGCAGTTTGCTTTCACTTATACTTTTCACATAACAAATATTTTAAAAGTCAGCTGGAAAAAGGCTTTTTTCCCCCCAATGAATTACTTTTTAGTTTATTATCTATGCATTATATATACACCCAAAAAGAGTAAAAAAGGAAAATCACACTTGGCACCTGAACAAAAGTTTAGTTTAGCAAATGAACAAAAATATTTCAAGATTCATTATCAATGTACAGTTAACAGGATCATGCAAATTTGGAGAACTTGTTTCAGGGCACGGAACAGACAAGCAACTCAGTCTCATGCCAAAACAAACAAAAACCATCAAGTCATCCCCAGTAGCTGCCAGGTGAACAGGACCAGACACACAGCAGGCAGCATCTCCTGGCTGCATGGACTCATCCGCAGCTCAAGGTCCAACCTCCACGCAGGCCTGGGGAGGGATGGGACACAGGACCTCCTGCCCCAGCCCCAACCTCCTGGCCTCTAGCACTGTCAGGGAGAAGACTCTTCTCTGGCCAGTTGGCTGCACACCCTGGTCTGTACAACGGGAAGGTAAAGCCAGATTAGTGTTGGGGACCCAAGCCAGGCAGAGCCACAAAAGCAGTTTTGTGCATTTAAATACAGGATTTCTTCCCAGGGACAGCGGGTAGCACATGCACAGACTGGAGAGGCTCGTTAACACCGTTGCTTTTACCAGCCGGGAACTGCATATCTGGGCCTTTTCTTCTGTCAAAGGACAAAAGCATGGGCTCCTCCAGGACAGAATGAGGATGGATGGATGGTTCGCTGCCACAGGTGGGTGGCGTTGGCTTTAGGGAGAGGGGGGCTCAGTGGGTGTTGTTACGGTAAACTCACTAGTTTACTTACTCAAGTTTTTTTTTGTCTTGCAGACTAGGCAAGGCAGGAATGTCTGAACAGGCATTAGGCAAATGCTCCCAAAGATTACAACCATAGAAAATTACCTACATCGTGAGAGTGATAGAAAAAACTTAAATTTCCACCTTCCCTCTTGAAAAGGCATGTACACAAAGAGTCAATTAGACTAAATATGATTATGTGGACTATTTACTGAACTCAGAGTTCAGGCTCATGAATTTCATTTAGCAGTTCACTAAACACTGGTGAATGTCAAATGGTCCTCAAATGGTCCTCAAAACAAGCGAATGTGGAGTCCATGCTACTAATCTCTGAAGATGAAAAGGAGATGCCAAAATGCTCGTAGCCAACTCATCACACCAGCAGACTAGAGCTCTGCAGGAGAGCTATGTCGTAGCTTCACTATAGGACTTGACATGAGAAGAGAGTGACAGACATCTTGCCAGCCATTCGTTTAATTAAAGGGCATCTGGGACACCTGCAATTTGTACTGAAGTACAAACCATTAACACTAATCATTAACTTGCCTAGGGAAGGAGCAAAGCATGGTTCTGAGCACTGACAGGAGAAATTTCTATCTTGCTTGAAGAGAAGAAATGCTGATAGTTCCAAAACTCAGCCTGGCCAAGTACATTTGAGAAGGGCAACAGCCCATGCATGCCTGGGCCATGACTAAGGCTCTACATCACAGTTGGCCATCATATGCAGATTTCCACTGACAAGGTTCATATTATAATGGAAAACTTTAAGCATGTTTACCAGGACTCAAACTAGAAAAATAGTCCAAAGCAGAGGAGATTGCAACACAAAGCAAGGAGCACACGTCACTGCAAAGAGACACGGGACAACCTCTCCCGGGCAGGATGCTGGAGGACTAACCAGGCTATGGATCTACATCATCCAGCCTCACTGATCATATGCACAAATATGCACAAATGTTCAAGTCCAAGCCTCCATTCAAGGAATATAACATTTACAGTTTCCGTATGCTACTGACATAACTGGAGCAAGTATCTTGTCTGACCTCTTCTTAGTCACAAATGAAGTCATTTGAAAGAAATGTGAATATATTTTATTCAAATATGTACTTTTCATGATATACATATGAAGGAGGAAGAGCTGAAAGAACAGAAAGGAACAGTTACAGAGCAGGTATTACTCATGTGTGAAGCAGTCTGTACAGAAACACTTTCTGAATATTACTGTAGCAGATAAAGTAAACAGGGGTCTTCTAAATACATGAATGAAAACAGTGAGAAGAGCAATATTAAATGTCGAGTCTTCCACTGGGAGCACAAATTAACTTTTTCTCCAATTCCTACATAAAGGATGACTGGGAAGAAACAAGCCTAAGATTTCGTGGGGTTTCTGCTACCCGGAGAGGGAAGCAGAACACCTCATCCTAAAGGAATTTAGCTAAGCCTTGTTTGTGCCGCATCTGGTGACGCTTCTGAAGTCACAGACACCCAGCAACAGTCACCTGCTATGGATTCCTTGATGTCCTTTGGAGACTGGTGCAAATTCCAAGTGGCAGCACTACGACAGTGCCCGTGAGAAGTGTCAGGGATGCGTTTTTAGCTACCAAATGATCCCCAGAAAAACAGCAGTAAATAGAAGCTTCCTGAGAAGCCAGCCATGTGCAAGATGCTAATTGCACCTCCCTATGAATAAGGGATGTGTCAGCGGTCTCAGATGTTTCAAGCTCCTTCAAGATGAGGCATTCATTACGCTTCTATTAAACAAATTAAAATCCAAATCAAGTCAAAAAGAACTACAGGCCCTTAAGGGTCATCTGTCCCCAGTACATTACATCTCTTGACACGTTATTAGATTTTATTTAGCACAACACACTCAGTAAAGTCTCAGCCTACTCCTTTCCACAAATAAGTCTCCCTTTATGTAGGTCACTACAGTTACTCACTGACCTTATGGCCTTAGTGAATGTAAATAATTTGGCTCAGCTAAATCTTTCAGGAGATTTTTATACATATAAATATACACACATGTATATATAGGTAGCACACCTAAAGATATACACACCTAAAAATGCATTCAATGTTATGTAATAATTCTATGATGTTTTATCCTTACAACCACTTTTGCCACTATATATTTATATATAAAAACCCTGAATTGCTAAAAAAAGCCCTATATTTTTAGAAAATTACACCGTACATCTGTGTAAGAGCACTCCATATCTGAAGTTTCCTTTGAGGAGGGAGATGGAGTTTAACATAGCGAAGGCTGACACACACCTGGTCAGGGTTTCACATGTATGTGAGCAGAGAGCTTAGGGAGGAAGGAAAACTTTGAAACGCAGAATTCAGCAAAATTACAGTATCAAAGTTGTTTTTAAAGGAGTTAATTTATTACCTTAACCACTTCGCCACCATCAACTTTCATCAACTGCTTCAAATTTTGCTGCAGCAGATTCGTATTTGATCGCCATTTCAGGAGTCCCAAGAGGTCAACTAGGAATAAGAGAAACAATCATCACATGCAGGACAGTTACTTCCCCTCAAATACCACAACAACCCTCAGGACAAATAAAACCTTTATTTCCACAGGCCGCCATTTTTACTGGACAACAGCATATTTCTACCATACATCCTACACTGCAAAAGTCAAGTACGATATTTCTATCAGGAAAGCATTTTGAAAGGCTTTCAAGAAAGCTTTTCTGCTTTTGGCAAGTCAGCATTAAAATCTAGGCCAAGGAAGCCCGATCCTTCAGTTTCATTTTGTTGTACACAACGGTAGGGTTGAGAGAAAGACGCTAAAATGAAATTAGTCAGACACCAACACAGCGGTATCTGTAGGGCTAGGGTTGTCTGAGCATTCCTGTTTCCAGCTTCTTTGCTATCACTGAATGAAGTGGGAGCAACGTAAGAAAAACACCAGGAAACTCCTTGCAAACCAGGCTAATTCAGTGGGAAGCTGCCTGCTTAATAACTCATCGGATCCAGATTCCTTGAGAGCTTCCAAGTGCTGGACAGCGAGGACACAAATCAGCTCAGATCATGAAACAAATCAATCCAGAATGGTCCTGTCCCCAACTTATAACTCCCACTTCTGAGCTCGTATCGCTTCAGCGGTCAGTGATAAATAGGGAACAGAGAAAATAAGTTCCCTCTTTTAGTAGTCCTGGAAGAAAGAGAGCACCACTTTGCAGAGCCCTTCAAGGACAACCTCCCACGTGCCAACTCACTGCTGTGTTTCATCTGAAAGCAAGCCTGGAGATATTAACGACCACATCAGAGTACCCACATTTCACACCCACACAAGCACTACCGGAGATGCTACATGGTTTGCAGAACCCTGAACCCCAAGCTCTGCCTGCCTTAGCTAATCCAGCCTCCTTAGAGGTCTCCTTCAGAATAACACAGAATAACCTCTGCGAGTCGTCCTCAGCAAAAGAGCCCAAAGAGAAAGACATTTTAAAAACCACCTTTCAATTTAGCCACCAGATTACAAGTGTGCTTAACCACTCCTCCCACCCCTAAAAATAAGATTAATTTAGGTGAGCTCTACCCAGGCTAACGAGTAATGGGAAATGCCTTCCCCCAGCCAACATCCTCAGGTGTTTTAATCAGACACTCAATCAAATGCTTATGAAGCCCTGCAGCTGCAGAGAGGAATTTATTCTGTAATAGAGACCAGCACAGCTGCCGTACATTTCCCCAGTATCTTTGGTTTCACAGAAGAAACATGGTTATTTTCCATGGAAAACGACTGCAGTTCTCCATTGCATAATTCCTAATAATCACTCAGTTGAGGACTCCGAGTAATGCCCCAAATCAAAACAAGCTGCCTTCATCAGTTTTGATCTTATTTGGATCAAGGTAACTTGCAATTGTATGTGGTATCTAACAGATATGAAAGTTTTATTTTATTTCTTGAGTTTCTTATTGAAAATAAGCAGACCCACCTCACAGTTAGGCCCTTCACTCACATGCAGAAGTTTCCATATGCAGATGTTGAAACTTCTCAAAGCTCAGATATTTTTTCCACTCTAACTCCAATGGTCTTGTCTTTGAAGTAACCTTTCCTCTCGAGTTTAAACATTTGCTTTTCTTCTTTTCATGAATTGTTCTACGCTAATTTTGTATTCACGTCACCTTCATTTTTATGCCAATGCAGCACCAAAATTGTCACGTCATATATAGGCTAGCTTGTTCTTTACTTATTAATCTGGTCATTGCACAATTAAACCAACTTTTCTACAACACACTTACCAAGTGTTACACAAGCTTGCACACAAGCACAAAACACAACACAAAGAAGCAAAGAGCAACATTTATAGGCTACTGTTCTTAAAGAATGGAAATAAGTGAGTACCCAAAGAACTTACATATGAAAGGACAGGCCGTACATGCAGAAAAATCTACAATTTACTAATATACTTTCAAAACTACAGAAAACAAATTTAAACCAATTCTAAAACACAATACTTTGAAAGATTCACCTCTAGAAGTTTCACAGACCATGTAACCATCAGCAACATTAAGTGAAGATCAGAAGTCCAAAGCAAATTAACTGCAAATTACACAAAACCACATTGCTTCCTCTTGTCTTAATTTTAGTAACATTTCTTCTGTGAAAGCAAAGCCAATATATTGATCACAAGGAGGTATTTCTAAATACTAATAAACATTAGAAGACTCTGGGGGAAAAGCCCTAATAATCCCAGTGACAAACAAAAAGCAGTGAGCAGCTTGGTTCCCCCGCCTGCCTCCGTGTTGCACCAAGCACAAACTCGCTGCTTTACTGCCAAGATGCGATTCCGTATTTGCAGCGGAATCCCCAAATTATTTCTGAATTTTCGCTAAGCGTCCTCTCAGGCAATGAGCCTGCCAGACTGCAGTGAATCTAATGTGCTCTGAATACGAAATCCCTAAATGTGCTTTGCTGGATACTGCTGAGCAGACTGCAGGGAAGCTGGGGGGTGACTGGGAAGCCGGGTGAGCCAAGCGGGCAGCCCTTGGGGCACAGCCACACACAGGAGCCACCAAACGGCCACGTGCGACAGCTGCCCTCATTCCAGGGTGCTCCAGGCCTGTGTGTTGGGATTCCCCAGGCCCCTGTGATCTGTGATCCATCCTGGAGTGACCCCTTTCCCTCCAGGACCTCACAGGCCTTCATGACCCACTCCCACGGGCAGCTCTTCACAGCAACTGAGAGCACACAGAGCTAGTCCCTGGACAGCCTCTGCAGAAGGGGCTTTGGTGGCCGCCACAAACTCTGGTTTTCCCAGCTATCCGTCTGGGACGCTCTCAGCTCTTGCTTGCATCATGCCCAGACAATTCACCCAACACTCCACAGCTCACAAGCGACAGGCCCATGCGAGGGAAGGAGGACAGAAAGGGCAGAAAAGCCAACACACATCTAGGCTCAAATTGAGAGAGACAGAAGCTCGGCAGTCTCAGGAACTTACCATTCTGTGTAAGTTTTGTTGAACAAACTAGAGTGGAAATCTGGAAGGAGTCCTTGCTGATGGTGCAGCTCCCCAGGTTCTGCATGCTCTTCCCTGTAGTTGAGTGTCCCTTTTCTTCCAACTCTATCTTAGTGGATGGCAGGCTTAGATATGTAGAGGCATCTTCCAGCTTCTTTGCTTCTGCCTGCAGCAGGGTTGTAAGTGCAATACAATACACAATTAAGAACATGTAAAAGTACTGTCAATAAAATTTTCTTTTCAACCATTAAAACTTCCCAGAAAATCATATTCAGAATCTAGCCATCAATTTGCCAAATACAAATTACTCTGCTCTTGGTGTATTTAGCTGCTTGATCTAATATAATATTCCATAATATATTTTTCTGTGCAGTCGCAATGAAATTCATGTATAACAAAGTAATTCACAGAAAGTAGATAACGCTCACACTCTTCTCTGGCTATTACGAGAAGACTTAAATAGCTCAAAATTCTACCTTATAAACTATAAGGTCATGTTCTCCATCCCTCAAAGTTGTTCCATCGTATCTCATGAGCTTCACAAATGCTAAGGCAAATATTTTCTCAGATTTATCTTTGGCTGTTAAAAATAAACAAATAGTTAAGTATTTAGTACAAATATTCCACTCATAACTCAAAGCAGATACCCTGCAAGTACACAACTGCAGGAAAGAGTCTCAGAGGGAGAACAGGGTAGAAGAAGTTTGGAGAGTGTCTTCTAGATGCAAGATTGAAAATAAAAGTTTGAAAAAAAAGTATAAGAACTTGAGAGTTGCTAGTGAAAGTAAGTCACTTAATGAATGGTTTAGTCATTTATTAATGGCCAATTTAGAAACGTGCAACTTTAAATAACTACTATGAAATATATGCAGGTGTGATTTGTTACAAGCATGACACCTTAAAATCCACCCAGCAGACATTTGATAAACACTTATTTTACAGCAAAACTTTTGCTGCAGATTGAAAGGCATTCAGAAAGGCATTCATACCAAAGACAACTGCAGTGTAATGGCTATATGGAATGAGCATTATCACTGTAAAATAGGCAAGACTCCCAAACAGTGCTAATAAAACAATTGAAAAAAATTAAAAAAAAAATCACTGTCTTGATTTGATCCTTAGCAACTCAGGTTCTCAGCTGCCAGACACATTACAAGAAAGGCAAAGTGAACTACAATCTCTTAAATACCTTTTAGATCAAAATTACTTCAAACCAAATCACAAGTGAATGTCAGAACCAGAGGTAGGAACCAAGTCACTCAATCGCTAGGGCAGCATCTCGTGATGTTCAGCCTCCTGTAACCTCTCTTTGGAGCCCTTTCTTACACACAGAACTGCCCAGCTCCTTTCCTACTTCCCCGCTCGCCCTGCCTATCGGGTATGCAACAACCCAGCCTTTTCCCGTGGTAACTGAACAGTTTTATTCACTCACCCTCCTATCTGACTTGGAGAACTGGTTGTTCAGGAAAGAGATGATGCCAAAGTTTAAGAGGTAGAAAGAAATCGTAAAACAAAAAGAAGCACAGATCATAATGGAAAATAAGCAGGAAAAATACACACCTTATCCCGACACTAAAAGCAATTAGAGTAGTAAATTACAAGCTAGGAAGTTTATGCCCATTCATTTCATTATTTTAGCACTGGCCTCTGACGAGAGCTGCCACGGAAAGGCCGCGGTACTTACAGTCCTGGGACGATCTGTGACGGAACGTGAACCTTAGGTGACTGCGGTTCACGTCTTCAATAGGGATAGCAACCTTCACACAGCGGGAAAGGGGAACAGGAGGAGGGAAAAAAGGAAAGCAGTGAGTACTGCACCTTCAAACAGCTGCTGTCACCATCAGGTTTCCTCTACCTGCACTGAAAGCCAGTTTTACATCGTCTGCATGATCCTTGAGCACTCCAGTTTATTTAGTAAGCTTAAAGCTGATTCCAAAGCCCTGATGGCTTCATCATACTGGCAATTTAACCATATCATCTTGCCACTGTCTAGGAAATAAGGTCATCCTATTTCTAAACAGATATTTGAATGTCCCCATAGTCTTCCTTGTCAAAAAGGAAGAAATGCTTTATGCAAAAGCCAAATCTATTTTCCTTAGTTACCTGTTCCTTAACACAGCCAGTCATTAATATTCCCATTTTTGTGTTTCAAAACCTCCTACTGTAATCTATATTCAGTTCACACTAGCCCAGGAAGTTAATGCAACATTATATACCTTTACAGTCTCAAACCAGCGAGGCTGCTTTACTTGGTAGTATATTACTGACTTGTACTCCGAGATGGCTTCATCACCAGCACCAGGAAAAATAACACTCTTGAAAGCAAAGAGAAAAGAGAAAGTGTTCACAGCTGCCTCAAACTCCGCTCTCACAATAAAGAAAATCAGCAAGCAGGTCAAAGAACAGCCCAGGCTCACAGATCCTCTTAGAAAGAATATCAAACAGCATATGTTAGTAACACAAAACCTATTTATTTTCAACAAATTGCAAAATTTTGTTGCAAATCCAAGTAAATAAAAGGACCTATGCCAATAAATATCTGAAAAGACATGGAAAAGGCTCAAACCAAAGCACATTAAAAGTTCAGAGAGGAAAAATTACCCACAGTAACCCCACAGAAGTCGTCTCAGTTAATACCTCTAATCTTTTGCCATCTTCATCGTAAACAGACACTGTAACTTCTACATTCTTTGCTGTTGTTTTACTGCCCTTGTCAAAATCGCCCTGAACCAGCGTTACGTAGATATCATTACGAACATCACCTACAAGGGAAACAAGGACAATGCTGTTGAAGACGATCACACATGTATATAGCAAAGCATTAAAAAGCCACATCATCCTGAACATGAAAACTAAACAGGACTGAAGAAAAGGTACCTTTAGCTAAAGTTGGGCTAAGACTTTTAAGATTTGATCTATCAAAACACACTGTAGTAAGATAAGATGAATCAAGAGACAAAAAAATATTTCTAAAGGGGAACGAACGTCATGTCATTATTAACAATAAATACCCTATTACTCCTAAAACATCTCAGCAGATTTACAACTGGTTCCTTATGATTTAATAAATATATACATATTTAACAATCGACACATATTTAAGCTGGGAGGTGGCTTGATAATTTCGCTCCTTGGGGCACCACAAGGATGGCTTATATCTAGTTTTATGTCTTAAAATGCTCTATATCATCGTTCAGCTGAAATGCAAAGCATGGAAATAGGTGATTTTCAGCAATTTAATGAGCCAGATGATCTGTGTGCCACATACTCTCATACCAAGCAGAGATGTTGGGGCACTTGCACCACATTGGATAAAAACCAAGAGAAATGCAGTTAGACACTGCAGGGAGAACTGGACCTCAGGATGCTTTTTGGAAGTATCGGATGAAGTTGTTTCCGTTTTGAAATGTGCTAAGTTGTTTATTGCAAATAACTATCAGAACTGAATGCCCACAAAAAGAAACATACGCATTTCTATACATATATGCGTGCATGTGAATATATACACACACTGACTGCTCACTTTCAAACTATTATCCCAGTCTAGTGCAATCTTAAGACACTTTCATATCTTTAAACCAAGCTATACTCTCCAACCATCTAACCCGCCTCCTGGTTTTGCTTCAGTGCAGAAGACATTTTACATAAGTCCTTGCTAAGCAAAACAACATGAAGTAGATTAAATGAGACTGGATCCTTTGATGAGGCTTCTCCAACGTACATCAGACCTTGTTGTTTTTATCCACCCACCCCCAGAGCTCCCGTACGTGCTGGTATTTGAAGCAGGTTAAAAGCCAACAAAGTTAATTCAACACAACAGCTCCCTGCTCTTGGGCACACAATTCACACACTCGCAGGGAATGCTCAATCCATTTAGCTGTTCACTTAAACATACACTTTCCCCCATTTCCTGCAGAATTTTTACCAGTCACTGAGAAGATTCAGCCACAAGAGAGTCAGAATTTTAAAAACAGGTAACAAATGAAGTATGCACTTACCAAAACTCCCCTATGCGTACTGACACAGCACAAGGTTCTTGTGCATTTAACTTTTATACAAATCTATCTTTTTAAAGAAGTCATCCAGAATAAAAATACCTTGTTGACAAAATGAAGCTGTTGAAGGTATTTAATTCAGGTTATCCCCTTTATTTTAACTGTTATGAAAACAATTCTTCTTGCTAGGTTCCCAACTCACCAATTTATACTTACCAGGCATAATAATCTCAGGAAAGCCCATTTTCCGAGCCACAGCTGTGGAGCGATCCACTAAATGTGGAAACTCTTTTCTAATCTGATGGATATCTCCTGGAAGAAGTTTCAAAGTCACCCACAGACCTGTTGTAAAGAACACAACAATTAAACTTGTGTTTTTCCTCTCATTATTAAAGAAAAATATTTACAAAGATATTTGCTTTAGGTGAGGCAGGAACAGATCTAGAAGGATCGCTCTTCCTCGCAGGGTTTTCAGCAATAAGCTTTCCTAGCACTGAGGTCTACACAAAAGCTTTGGAGAAATAAGGCTGTTAAGCCATTAACAGGATTGCCTCGAGCCTGTATCCAAGCTCTGATGTTCGGGGGTGCTTCCTAATGAAGCGTTTTATCTTCCAGAGGAAAGACGACAAGTGGCTACATTGGTTAGGCTGGAGGAACTGAAGAAATTAAAAAGCTAGGTAATATCAAGTTACCAATCAAGACACAACCAACACTTGATAATTAATTAATCCAACCCTGGATTAATTCATCCTACCCTCCGATAAGTGGCTTTAGCTTAACTGCACTAAACTCAGAAAAGCAGATTTATCCCTGCAGCACATCTGCACTTTGACTACCAGAAGGTGCCCGAAGATGCCACTGGCTGCCAGCAAGCAGCAGCCTGCTGCACCAGCAAGAGATGCAGCAGCAAACGGACAGGTTCCCACCCAGCTGAGAAAGCTGACAAGCAACTAAGTTTAAGCATGAAATTTGTAGCAGCAATTCTCAGGGAAAAAAAACTCCAGAAATAAAGTGTAGGAAAATTTTTAAAAAGTCATCATCATTCAAATTGTGGGTTATCCCGTTACACGCACAATTAACTGTGCATTCATTATGTGTACATTTGGCATCTAACTTTCTCTTCTATTAAAGTATCTTATAAAAGGCTGTGAAAGCTGACTCGCTGCCAGGGACAGTTCCACCAGCTGCTGTTTCATTAAACAGCAACTGCACCTACAAAGAGGGGCTGAGCAACTGCGCTGCAGCCCTTCTCATTTGTTTGTTTGGGGGTTTTATGGATTTTCTTTTTCCAAGGGAAAGAGTTTGAAACAAGTCAAAGACACCTTACTGAGTTTCCCCCCTTACAATACACATCACTGGCAGCTGAAAATAGGAAAAAGTACATGTATATTTTCCTGCTGAGCTAAGAGATAATTTAAGGTCTCAACAATTTAAGATTTTATTTACTATAAATTACCAGAAGTCAAAAGGGAGATTTTTCCCCTTTTATCTATTGTTCTCTTACACCCTACAAGTGCCATAGATATTCAAAAATATGAAACCTTAGCTGGAAATTCTGCATCAGTTCCTTAATGCAGACCAAAAAGGGACTGAAGGCAATACAGCACTAACTAGCCCACGACTCCCTTTAACGGGGAGGCATCGCAGACCAGAAGTGCTGCATGCAAAACCACAGGCTTCGGAAGCAAACTCAATCCCACGCCAGCAGAGCACTCGCTGAGTTATGAGCAGCGGCACTAACAGGCTGTAAGACAAGGTAATCAGAGGGGTTGTCTTGTTCTGGGGCCGTCCTCAGCACCTCGGAGCACAAAGCAGCAGCAGCTCCGACGAGAGCAATTCCCTCATCTTCTTGACGGGCAACTGCAGGGGAATGGGGTTACTTACGGCAGAAAGGAGGAGAAAAACAGGAAGGGAAAGAGAGCCCCTTCCTCCAATGCACAGCGGCCAAAGTGCAGCACTGAAGGGCACCAAAGCCAATTTCAAATATAGAAATATACTATGTGGGAATGGCAGAAATATAAGATGTCCAAGTTATAGACATGGCAGAGGAAGGAGAGACAACTTCATGTTTGCACTGGAGAGGAAAAATAAAATAAAATGGAATAATATGGAAGTAGGAAATGGCAAAAGAAACAGAGGCGATGGAAAAGGCAGAGTGCAAGTACATTTTCTGCCATCAAACAGCAAAACTGAATCATTAGGCACCTGGAATCCAACTAAGATAATCACAAGTCACAATTTAAGCAATAAGAAATTTTCATGTGCAAGGTTATACAAAGAACAATACCTACCCTGGCCCTTGTGGTTAACTTCTTTAGCAGCAATCACTTTGTTTATAACAGTCTGAAGGAAATCATTCTCCCCCGCCACCCTGGGTGAAAAACGGGATGATATGTTCAGCTGCTTGTGTCGAATGGCGTCATCCAACGCTAGCCTGGAGGATGCACATGACGACCAACACCAGGAAACAGAGGGTCACAGAGAACCAGAAGTCACAGTAAGAAGGGAACACAAAAGGTCGTATCATAGTTGTGACAAAGAGCATCGATTAGTCAACGCAAGACAGAGGACAGGAAAGGTAACAAGAAAGACAGAGGAAGATCATTAATCAGAAGAACACTGATCTACCAAAGAGAAGTACAGCAGATCTACGTGGTGACTTCTCCCTCGGGGAGCTGGCACGCACAGGCGCCAGGGATGCTCTGCCGAGCAGGTAGGATGGTTCCCACCTGAGCATCCCCATCACGCCATGAACACCCCCACGGGCAGGTTCTCCAAAGAGACAGAGCAGGGCAGCCCTGCCAAACCTTCGGGGTCACTGCCGTGATCACAGATTAAGCAGCAGTGCACACCGCTTGAAGGGGGAGCTACTCAACGTCTCACAGAAATGGCATAGGACAAGAAAAGCAGATAATCCGAACATTTTGTTAACTTTGATGAATGAAAAGATGAAGTCTAGAAATAAAAAGCGGCGTCAAGTGTCATTTAAGTAATCTTGCCAAGTGCTGTCACAGCCATTGTGTTGGTGGCTAGTGAATGAATACAAACAGACAGAGATATGAAAACAGAATCGCATGTGGTACGACAGAAGCGGAGCGTGAAATGGGGAAGAAAAATGTGGCTCAGATCTATAGCCTAAGACTACATTAGCAATAACGACACCAGTACTCATTGCATGTTTGCACATCATTCATACTGCTTGGGATAAATTAAAATATCTTGCAGGCAAAAGTATATTGTCGTAAAAAAATTACATTGTACCTCTTTTCAAAAAGCTGATTTATATACCCAGAAAAAATAAATCAGTTTTAACGGAGCAGAAAACTCGATGTTCCATTAGCATCCTGTCTGATTCAAAGATTCATTTTCATTACACACTTTCACACTAAAAAATTAGCTTGCTATTGTTTACCATGCGAGAAACAAATATCATGGAAGTCACTTCCCTAAATGCCTTTGTTTCCCTCTAAACAGCACCAGAAAGTTTAACACCCTCTGCCACTGCTATACAGAACTCACATGGCCTCAGACACAGGGCACACATCACTCCCTACAGCTCTCTCCATATCCCTACCGGCTCTTGCAAACTACAAGTCATCTTGAATTGGACCTATTTTCTAAGTAAAATTAACTTGATATTAAATTATTTCAAGCTTTTTTAATTAGAACCCTCTAGATATCCATTAGTACATTAATCAGGGAACTTAGGTAATGTAACTTTACCTTTTGGAACAGATGGCAGTCTATTTCACCCAATGGAAAACTAGACATTCGTGTTTTACACGCAACCATCCAACTTATCCCTTCTACCTTTCCATATTCCACAAAAAATGTATAAACTGCAGATGGAACTGAATACTGCCAAAGCAGCAAGTGACTTAGCCAACCAAAATACTTCAGGCCTCTCTAGAAGTCTCCTACGACAGAGTTAAAGAGACCAGAGATTCCAGTTATCCTACACGTTTTTATCCTTTGTTTGTACGCAGTTACTGCGGCCCCTGCCATGAAATTTCATCTGCTACTGAGGACAGCATAAATGTTATCATTAAATGTTACTCATATCATTAAATGTTACTCATTGCAGAGAAATAACCCAGAGGGGATGCCAGTAACGCTGCTGATCACTAGCATCTGAGCCAGACTTGAGCAAGCAATAGAACTATGTACTAGTACACAGTACGTAACTAGTACTCCCTCTTACACATCCTCTCTCCAGTATCTTTACACAAATAAAGTTTTAGAAAAGTATGTTTTGAACTTAGAGCTTAAAACCATGATTCTCTGGATCTACTGCTATTGTAAATAATGGAAATGATACCAAGAAGCAATATTAGTAAAGTATTGCACAAGTAATCTTTTTTTTTTTAAAGAAACTTTGAAGATCTACAGAACACTTGTATCAATCCAAAGATTAAACTTCAGAAGCAGATTTTATAACACATCTGCTCGTGCTCTGAACTGTTCCCTACTTACGGTTGAAATGGAATGAAGTGCTGTTTGTCCTCATCATCGACTTTTCCATTAATTATGTCAGTAACATCCATTACTGAAAACGAGAACAAAGTGTACCGAGTTAAACACACACCCAGGAGAAAGGGCTCTGAACACGCTGGAATATACTGGGGCCCGGAACAGTAACTGCATCTCCACTACGAGTCACTCACAAAAGGCAATTTAAGACTCATCATGAGTAGAATAATGTTCAGTTTCAAATAAAAGCTTCAATATTCAAAGAAACAGAATAGATTAACGTGAGTAGGAATTTTTGCTAGTTATAGCTTTGTATCACCAAACTCTTGCCTGTTAAGAGCCACCACAAGGACTTGCACTTCGCCAGCTTTGCAATCTCTCTACCCAACTGCAATTCTTCAAAGATGCAGGAAATTCAACAGCAGAGTGAAAAATCTGATCAAATCACCAACAGATTTTAATTCATACAATCCCACAGGAGCTGCTCACACACATCTTTCTGTGTGTCCACGAGGTGGGACACAGACAGACCCAACACAGAAGCGGTACCTGCTACTCCAAAGGGCCGCCGGAGCCCCGACGTCAGCTTCCTCGTGTTGTTGTCCCTCAGCTCCATCCTGCCCACTCTCACTATTTGACAAACAAAACTGATTTTCTCTCTTTTCAGGTCTTTGCTGCCAAGGTCCTAGGAAACATTAGTTCCTTCAGATTACTTTACAGTAATTGCTTTTCAGGTTCTAATTTAGAAGACAGAAGTTTGTTGCTTAGTATTTGCTTTTGTCATACTAGCCTCTAGCATCAGAACAAATTATTCTCACAGTAAAAGAATCTTCATAACAGTATTTAGAGCCTCGTCTTGAATTCTGTACAAATTAATTGTTTAGACTCCAAATCATTTCTAATAAGTTAATGATTCACAAATACTAAGGAGGAAAAACTTGTGTGTTTAGTACTTGTAGTAGTCACCTATGAAAAATGTCTCTCTACCTCTGCAGGTAATCCCTGGCAAAGACTAATTTCCCACTTTTAAGTACAAATCGCTAAATTCTTCAATTATTCATGTGATACAAAACAAGTTGTTTAAAGTTTGTAAACTTAACCAGCCCAGACACTTACAGTGAACACTGCTCGAAGGTTATGCAACCTGTCTATATCTTTGGGGAGTCCAGAGCTCGACCACCGCACCAAGTAGTTTTCACTGAAAGAACAACGTTAGGAGAACATTTATGTTTAACCAGCTTCCCTGAACATAAGCATAAAAATCAGCTTCAGGATTAACAGAAGATTATTTGAAACAAAATAAAAACTCTACCCTAAACCAATGAATGTTTACTTAGCAGCTGTCTGCTATTCCACTAAGTGCATTTCACTTACAAAAGAAAGAAGTTCTCCAGCAACAAAGCCAAGGAATTTAAGGGAGAACCTAGAAATCTGACTCAGCTTTCTGCCAAAAAAGTGTCTCACTGAAGCTCTGCCCTTATAGAAGGGAAGACATTACGTGCCAAAGAACAACGCGACCCTGACGCTCCCAACCTGGAGGGACTCCCTGATCCATGCTGAGCAGGACAGGGAAGCTGCCACGTGACAGCTCTTCCAGGCAGCCTCATCCTACACATTTCAGAAAGTCCAAATTTAAATCCCCTCATCCCACCAAACCTGGCTACTAAAACCGAGTAAGCACACACTACACCCAGAGCAGGAGATGGAAGACACTAACCTGATAAATTTTGATTCCAGTGGGTCATAGAGAGACATAAGGACTTCAGCATCTTCTCCGATTTTGCAAACTACATTTTTTAAATTTACAAATAAAGCAAATGAAGGAGTAGCAGCGAACTTGGCTTGTCTGTTGATATCAATATTCTGTTTTTGAGACTGCAATTCAGGAACAGAATAAACAATTTAAACTGGGAGCACTCTTTACAACATAAATCTTTCTTAAAAGAGTTTGAATTGCAAAGGTGGTAACTGTTTAAGTCTAAGAAGGCCTTTAAATTTGCTCCCTGTAAACCAACAAAGAGGTTTCCAGGACAGACATACTGCAAAAAATAGCAAGAACATAATGAACACTTGATTTTCAAAAATAACCCCTCCAGACAACCTACCATGCAGATTTACTACATTTGCAGTAATCTCCACATCTAATATTAACATACAAATGCAGCCAATGTGTTAATGCCAGTCAATTAATATTGATGCATCATAACTGTCTATTCTAACAAGCAATCCTTTAAAGGAAAAAGAACAGCCCAAGACATGCAAGTACTTAAGGATTTAAGCCTGATAACCCGTTGTAGACACATCAGCTCTTTCAACCCTTATGCTTGCAAGAGCAGGTACTTAGTTTACCGGGGTTGTGTTTCAAAGAAGGGCTATGGTTGCAGAGCGTATCTTACTTTTTCCTCCAGCAGTCTCTCTTCAACTTGCTTGGAAGCGATTTCGTGTGCTCTAAAAAGGCTAATGGTGCTGGTCTGCTCCGGGTCCAGAATATTGCCATCTTCATCCCTAACAACCAGGTCTAAATCAAGGATTCTACACAAAAACAGAAACATGCCTGTGAGCCAAGAATGCTCGAGCAAATGCTGGGGAAAAAAAGGCCACATATTTAACGTTGCATTCATGCATGTCTGGCATAAACTAGAAAAAAGGTTATTCGATACATCATAGAACAAATCAACACACTGTCACTCACAGAGATACCCATTCCTGGCCAAAGTGACATTTCCAACAGCACGCACAGAACTGCTGGGAATGAACATTCCTCAACTGTTCCAGAAGAAAACAGAAAGTCTCATTTAAATAGCACAACAGCTGGGGAAGCAATTTCTTAAACAACTAAAGTTGCAAGAAATTCTCCCGACTCATCTGTCAGTGTGAACAAGCATCTACAGTCACAGCGTGTGCAAACCGGTCAGCTCCTTTCTGCATCCAGCTTCACAGCCTCCCCCTGCACAGGAGTGTTCAGGGCTTCCCCGCGTGCACCAAGTGCTCATACAAAGCACGAGCACCACACAAGATGCTACTCTTTGCCAGCAGGGTGTTAATTCCCATTATTACTTCCACAGAAGGGAGATTTTCTGTCATAATCAAGTCCAAGAATACAACTGAGTCCAATTTTCAGAATTTTTCCAAGATCCAAGTCCAGGCTGATCCGTATTTCTCTAGCTTGCCTAATGTTGATCTCTAACACTCTTTCAACGAATACGATCCCAAAAGCTACCATCTTCTAACTCTGTAGCCACCTCTCACAAACAAGCTGCTCAAACTTAGTCTTTAAGATGTTTTACCCCTGAGCTCAGTTCAAAGTTGCAGTTCATAATGTCAAGACAAATTCACAGCTTATCCGAGAGCAAACCTCCTTCAGACATGACTCTCAATCACTGGAGAAGATTAACGTGGGCTTTGGCTGATGGAGACATTGATGTGCTTGAAGGATCCCTCCTTGCCATCCCCTAGCAAGAGGGAAACGTGGAGGTTTGAGGCAAAGCCTTGGCAGGGTCACCACCGAGAACTCTTCAGCTGCAGGGCATTAATTCCAAGGAGGAACATATCCAAGTGCTACAGCAGCCTATGAAGAGACACCTTCTAAGCCCTGCTTTGTCTTCACCTGCGACCTTCACCTGCTCTGCACAAAACTCCTAAGTATCTCTGGACCAAGCAAGTTCAGAAAAATCTTTCCAGTGAGCAAGTGGTTTCACTGCTGAAGTCGAAGAGAAAAGCAGACAAAATCTTCTTGCTCCCTAATCCTGGTTCTCAGACAGCAGCCAGAGCAAGGGATCCACCTCCTGCTCCCTGGGATCACAGCTGTAGGCTCTGGCTGCACAAGGACAGAGTCCTGCAGAGGATACACAGCTGGACTAGGCAAAAAGGTATTCAGAGAGCGACTGAGCACTCAGCCCACCATGTGCAAACAGGACAAGGTTTGCACAAAGAGCAGGACCAAGCACTATTTTGATTTCTTTGCTTTAGCCTTTCACATACAAGAGACACTTGGGAGAGATATAAAGAGAAAGATTTTTCTCAAATGCCCCAGTTTGCTTGCACTTTTCTTGCAACTGAACCTCAAATATGTTTTCATAACAAAAGTATTCGACCTAATTTCAGACACACGCTACAAGTAGAAATGAGTGCTTTCACTCATCAGGTATTTCAACAATAAGCAGTGAAACTGTAGCCTTTATTTATAGGAAAATCATATTTACAAATCAGTATTTCACAAAACAGGCAAAGTTGGGATTCTAATTAGATCGAAAATATTTATGAAATGCACAATGAATTATTCTGTTCAGATACAGAAATCACCACTCGTGTTCATTTTAGAGGAGAGTGAATATATGACTACATTAGAAAGCTGGGGCATCTTTTTAGTTGTGCATATGCACTCAGAAGCTCCAATTCAGTTCTCTGCCATTTTCTGCAGAGAATGTTCTGATCACTTAATTAGTCCATCAGAACATTATGAATATAAAACACAGCACAAGATGTTCTATTGTATTTGAATGCTGAGCATCTGGATGTTATTCAGGGAAACTTTAACCAACTCCTTAGCCAGATGGTAAAATACAGTAGCCAAACAAATAATATCAATAACATCTGGTTAATTGTCTACTGGGGTACAACAGTCCATATCTTGGATTATAAATGCTAAATTACTTACTGAACGTCATTACTGGGTTTTGTTTCTGTCTTTTTTTAATTACGGCTTTTGCAGATAAAATACAGAAATATTGCAAGCTGGGCAGTTCTTAAGAAATAAAGCACAAGTGGCTCAAATCCGATGAATAATTTACATCACAAGGACATTTAGAGATTGGTTTGCTGAATAAATTTCAGTCCCCAGGTGCACAGGACTAGACTGCTCTCTCTTCCAGAATTCAAAACACCGTTTCAAGCAAATTCCCGATTTCTTCGGGGGAAAGGTGCAACTCTCCACTTGCAATTTAAAGGGAAAGTCATAGCCATACAGACAACATAACATAGAACTGCCATCGCATTTGTATCTAAAAAACTAATTTTGCTCAATCAAATTTGGCCTGTTTGGATGTTATGCCATTGTCAAGAGGCAGCACATGCAGTTTAGTATACCTGAAGTACATAACCTGTATTGTTGCTATCTTTTCTGAAACTTCACATCTGTTACAGGTGCGACTTTTTATTAAATCCGTGAAGTAATCCGTAAAAGTAATTTAATAAAATTACTTTTATTAAATAGTGTGAGTTGCATATAACATAAGCAGAGAAGCTGCAATTTAAACTCTGTTTCTAAACCAAACTCCAACCTCACATTACAGCACAGGTTACTTAGGACCCACACGGGCAGTGGTTCTGACAAGGCAGTGACAGTTACACAGAAGTGAGCAGAATGTGCTTTTCAACTGACCCTAAAAAAAATGGAAAACAATAAAAATACTTCGAAATTAGAGTTGTTTACTTAATTTTACTCCATTTAAAAGAGATTATATTCAATTTCCCTCTTTATCTTGCTATTTTTAATATAGCAAAAATTACTGTGACTGTTACTATTGCAAATGCACAAATACAGGGGAAAAGAGTCCTGTAAGCGTGTGCCTGATGCGAAGCTGATTTGTTTCAGACGGAAACATTTGCAACATTGTTCACAAACCTGTTTCCATAGTCAATTTTGGCGGTCACTTTCTTCTTCAGTTCCTTGAGCTCATCCTGTGGCAACGTTCCAGAGAGTATTTGGGATCGCCACTCAATAAGATCGTAGATCATGTGCCGGACACTACGGAACATTTCTCTGTTGTCTTGCTGTTTGGAAGCACAAAAAAGAATGGACAGAGTCAGGTTTTAAGTCTACTGAACATCTTTTCAGTAGAAATGGTATATTAGGGTTATAAAGTATGACTTTAAAAGGGTGAAAATACACAGTTAGCTCTAAGGGTCCAACCTTCCCTATTACAGAAGACCAAATATGAGGAGTCCTATACGATCTTTAAGGTATGCAAATAAATGTAAATAATTATATTTGTTTCCTAAAAACCTGGTTCATAATCTATTTAAACAAGCTTTCAAGGTAAAAGACATCCCATTTTATATAGTAACACCAGACAAGGATCCACTGTTTTGAGGACTAAAAATGGTGAGTGAACAACAAGCGGCTGCAGCTCCTCAGCCCCCATGCACATCCTTCCTGCTTGATCATCTCTTCCCCGGTCCAAACTTCAAAAGGGTACTTTAAAATTCCTCCAGAATTTTAAAAACCTCTAAAGAGTCCACAGGTACCAAGACGTGCAGAAGCATAGAAAAAAAACAGGAAAGTAAAAATCCTTGCAGGTCAGAAATGTTGAGGCGGCCTCAACTGTGACGCAAAGCGGAGCAGAGCAGCATTCCCGGCTTTCCTTAGCTACGCACTGCCGAGACAGGACACAGGGAGATACAGTCCCACACGTACAACCCAAGAAACCTCTTTTCCAGTATGTTTTAATTACGTGAATCCATACCCATGGTCTGCTAAATAAAAGATTAACTCCTTAACCCCAAGATAGGGTTAGACAGGTTGGTTGAAACAGCGGGTGATGCTTTGGTGCAACCCGCGGACAACGTCGAGCACGACTGAAGCGACAGAACAAGAGTCGGCGCCCTGGCTGTGAAAGACACCAAGACCAAGGGACAGCCGAGACACAGGGCGCTTTGGTCTCACCCAGGAACATTTCAGTCCTGGCAACCTTCCCACTCCAGCCTCTGGATCAAGGCGCTCTAGGAGGGAACGCGTCTTCCCGAGGCATCCCGCACTAATGAATTATTCAGGCCACGCGCAGCTCTTCTGTTCAGACTCTATCCTGGCCTTATTTGACCCAAAACAATTGCAATAACTAAATAATTAAACTAACACTACAATTCCCTGTCACATATAAAAGGCAACAAAAACCTGCACCGAGTGCAGAAAGAACACAGCAACACAAAGGCAAGGGGAAAAAATACCAAACTGAGAAGCTTAAGGGATTCCAGTCTGTTGAGATTATCAGAAAGCTGACTTGATTACAGTGTGTGAGAACCTTCATGGAGCGAAAATGCCCATTATTAAAGCTCTTTAATGTGGCAGAAAAAGACACAAACAGGCGCCTTTGGCTGGGGGCTAAAGAAGGGGGTTCAGCACTCGCTCTGCTGTGGGCAACTGCGAGCTGGGGGTAAAGAACCCGGCACTGCCTTTAGCAAAGGCAACCTGAACCATTACATGCACATTTTCCAAATACACACTGCGGACGGAACACTGGGATGAATGTGGAGGCCGAATGATTTCTGACACACAAGAATGTGGATTGGGTGGCTTTAGCTGATTAGATGATTTCTAGCAAATGGATTTGAGGCTGATACCTCTAGCCAATCAAGTCCCCCTTGAAGGGGCATTTGCAGCACAAGTCTCTGCTCGGCAGTTGGCCACACACAGCTGGTTTGTGCACCTCTCCTTGAGATACTGCTAGATCAAGGTATCACTCTATGGAAACTTGATTCTGCATAAGAAATGTATTCTTATTTAAGAATATGCCCCAAAGCAATACATATGCCCAAAAGCAGCCATTCCAGAATATGCCACCGGGTATATTCTTATTCAAAAATAAGAACTCCTTATTCATGAATATGCCCAGTATTCAAGAATATGCCCAAAAGCATATTTGCATCAATGGAGATTTGCACCATGGCACAGCAGGTGCTGAGCAGCTTCACAACATCAGTTTTGCGTGTCCTTCAGAAGCAGCAGAAAGGGGAAATCGTTAACGGCTCCTGCAGGCTCCTACCTTACCTTTCAGCACAGCCCTCTCCTCTGGAGGCACCCAGGACTACAGGCAGGTGTCTAAGCCCATACTCACAACATACAACTGGCGCCATATGATGGACCATTCCCGCAGGGTCGTGGTCACTTCCTGGATCAGCGGGAGCTCGCTCGGGATCACGGTTTCATGTTGGCTGAGAAGACAAGAAAGGTCAGAATGACTTCGCCATCCGACCCAAAAATCACTTAAAGCAGCAACTGCTCATTTCCCAAACCAATTCAACAACATGATTCAAAATTCTGCTACTTTAATAAATTTAGAACATCACAAAAACCACCACAAGACACAGAAGTAGCAGCGTATACCTGTTTCACTGCCTTAGAGGGTACTTCAGGGAGCTGAGACTACACTACTGAGCTCAATAGTTCAACAGCTCCCATGTTCACACAGTAAGGCTATGGATACACACCTCACCATGCCATTTGTTATTGACACACTCCTTTTAACAGGAAGAACTAAGATGAAAGACAGATATATAGCACATAAAACATCATGGTAGTAAAACACAGTTGTTTTTTCAAACTATTGTTCACTCTCATTCTCTTTTACAAGATATATGTATATATAATACATATTCAAGCATGCAAGTCATTACCATTAAGTTTCCTTATGACTTGTTTCGTACTTTGGTCGCATATAACTTTAAAACAACAGCTAGATCTTTTAATACTTCAGAGGAGGGTACTTAAAGGCAGTCTTGCAATCAGCAAGAAAGATGTCATTATGCAGCAATCATATGATTAGTAGCTTCATCATTTACATATTTAACGGTGTATAAAAATAAATCAGGCACAAAGACATAAAATATTTTAATCCTGTTTCACTCCATTTTATACCTGGCTAATCACTTTACTAATTTCATTCCGTATTTTTTTCCATTTTTCTAAGTAATCTTTTGTATCAATTTTATGAACTTTTTACAGGCATGCCCAACAACTGTTGGTGGGTACATAAGGATGTGAATTTTGTAAGCTTTTAAATGACAAAAAGCAATCTGAACTACTATCACAAATGTCAGAAAGGATGAAGAGAACCACAATTCCTTGCTGAATGATAAAATTCAAACCTTAGGGGTGGGGAAGAGTTACTCTAAATAGTTATTATTCATGAGAGTAAAAAAGTTATAAAACACACTCAGATAAATTTATATCTCATTTGAAGCTTTTAAATTAATACCGGAAAGGTTCCAGCTCAACTACATGCTGATCCTAGAACCTTTTGAGCCTGACTTCAACCACGAGTTAAAAAGAACATGGCCAACAACTACTTTATTAACTGGAAACAAGTCTGAGTCTGATGAATGCACTGAAATGACATCCACACAGAAAAGAAAATAAATTTTCATGGTTTTCAAGTACAACTCACCCTTTTCCTTCAACTATTGCTTCCTTAAGATGTATATACGATGCAGGAAATATACCCTTATAGAGAGGAAGAGAGGAAAAAATATGTATCATAAAGCAAGAGATATACAGATAACAGTATCTACAATCTAACAAGGTGCCTAGACACCTTGCTGGGACTGCATTCAGAACCACTCACACACTCCTAGGCACCAAATTAGACCTTTCTTGTTTTTAAATTTACAGTATTTAAGTTTAGTACTATAGATCATTTCAAGAAGGTTTTGTAATATTAGTAAAAATGAACGGGGAAAAGAGAGAGGGAAAAAAAAGAGAGATCCAGTGATTTTAAATTGATCTTCACAATGTTGACAGGCTCCCGGTTATCAGGGACACCAAGGGAGAGCATCACTTGAGACTGGGCGCCGGGCTCAGCTCTGCGACACAGCTACAGATGGAGGCTCACGCAGAGCAGCATCATCTGTCACTGCAACCCCCAGCACAGAGGCTTTTATTTTGTTACACACCGCCCCATATCACCAGCCTACCATTAGCTTGGCAAGTCTAAGAGCTCTTTGACCAATGCTATTTCAAAAGATCAATGCTGCTTTTCTGGAAAAAAGAATAAGCTCTCTCTCAAGTTTCTAGAAACAAAATAGTATTTTCAAAATAATGCAAGCACGTACTAAAAGGTATGTAAAGTCAAGGCAAGGAGAGAAGTTTCTTACACCTCAGTTTTGGAGACAATGCCCTCCTTTGCTTACTTGGAGACGTAAAAAAGTAACTCTTTGGATACTAGACACACTTGGGCCAAGAGCAAGAATGACCCGTTCTGGTTTTCTAAGTCCTTCTCAGATAAACTGTATTGTGTGCAAAACAGCAGCAAAACTTTCATTACTTACAGAGATCCAGAAGAAACAAAATTCACTTCTGCATGCAAACGTGCTACTATTTCATTTTGAGATGGCAAGAGAACCAGAAATAAGAATCTTGTAATTCTGGTTCACTACTGCTAGAAAATTGTCAGAACTAAAAGGCAATTCCACACGCAGCATTCCTGGTGTTTCGTTTTTCCCCTTGAAAAAATGCTGCTATAAAGAGCAACCCTGTATGCAGGGCGAGGGCCCAAGGGTGAGGCAGGAGCACCCCAAGGAGGGCAGCTCCGTCCCGCACAGAGCGCGGCTCCCAATCCCGCCGGGACCCCCGGCCCTCTGCACGAGGGAGGCACCTGCCTCGAGAGAGGCCGGATCTGGGAGCACATGGAGCTGGCCCCAGCCTCCAAAGGGGACAAGGAGGATGCACAGCTCTGGCTGCTTGCACTGAACTTCATTAGTGAGGGGACAGCCCTGGGGCACTCGGCTGTTGCAGTAACCGAGCTGGTGCCCTCAACCAGATCTTCTCTAGGGGTCTCTCCCAACATTACCGATTCTGTGAAACGCTCCACATTGTCTGTATGTAAGAGACACTCATCTACACCGCAGAGAGGCAGTGCAGACCGCACACGAGCAGGCCCTAGAGATCAAGCACACGTGGTAAAGCGTGACATACTGTGACACACGCCCAACCTCGGCTGGAACAGACACACCTGGGGACACGACATCTTTGTCCACGAGGAAAATGAGCACACCAGAACAGGACAACTTACCTTTTTGGACTTCTTCCTTAGTGTATAACCCCTGTACCAACCTAGAAGGAAACAACATTAAATGTTTCATAATGTCACATAACATGCTCCTCAATTCCACTTTAACTTCATTTTGTGCATAAGGGGGGAGCAAGACTGCAAACATCTCAGCACACTTCTGCTCTCCGTGGCATTAATGGCCTCACTTAAAGTGATTTTAAAGCCCTCAGCGCAGGGCGATGATGTCCAGGCTGACGGGGAACGCTGCACGAGACAGCACCTCGCGTTACGCCCTTAACTGTCAGTCTCAAGTAAGGCCACTCTGCTTTAATTAGTAATTTAACAGCATAAACAAAGCCAACCGAAGAGCATCAAGTTCAGAAATACACAGTGCGAGTCATTTGATTTTAAAACCCCTTTAGGTTTAACGAATGAAAATTCTTGGGCACAGATGAGCCATTCGTCATCTCGACGGCAAACGAGGAGACTCGTGGTCGCGCAGCAGCGCTCACACCAACCAACCAAGCACTCAAAACACAGAAGCTTTACTCCATTTCTCAACACAAACCCTGACAGCAAACAGGGAAAGCAGCAAACATCTAACACGTAACTGAAGTGCACTGCACAGAACTACAGTCTCCTAACTCTATTTTTTAACAAATACAGTTTCAGCAAATGCTGGTGAGAGGAAACAGCTAATGTCATAAATATTTCCCAGAGCGACCCGAGTTTAAGGGGCCGAGCTACACGTGCCAGGGTCTCCAGCCATAAGGGATTTAATGGCTTGAAACATGAAGCCAAGTAAGTGCCCAAAGAAAAGGACCAACAAAACATCCACATGTTCAAGCTGTGAAAGACACGCCAAGGGAAAGCTCTGCTAGTGCTCTTATTTCTCTTCAATGTTGCATGTATTTATTAGGCAGTTAGTCTTGACAAAGTATTTGCTGTTTTTTTAAAGGCTGACATCATCATTCTGAATAAAGATTGGATTATTTTGTTTAAGTAATTTGAAAAACATATGTGTTTCTATGTGTATCTATTATTGGAAAATCATTTCCCGACTCTTTATATGGCTTTTCTGTCCCACTGCCCTACTTGGGGAGCCTGTTCAGACTGGCACTTCCACCGCATCCCAAAGGAGCGGGACCCAGACAGGAATAATGACAGGGAAGTCAGGACACCTGGAAGCAAAACTGGTGCAGATGCTAAGAAGCCTCCTGGGGCACCACGCACACATATTTTCTGTAGAGGAGATCAAAAAACTCAAATAATTACCTAATAATGGCAGCTCTGTGAACAAAAGAGGTAAGAATTACAGCATCTCGTTTCCCATCACAGCAGGCAGATAACGATTATTTATTGTAAAGAGATGTTTGGAAGAACACTAATTTATTTGAATTTCTTTTAACATGAGCTCATGCCATGTGCCCGAAGCCCGACGGCCAGGAGAGGAGAGTGTGAAAGGTCTCTCTGCTGTTCAAGGCCAGGTGTAAAACAAGTCATCTCCACTGTCCCACTAAGGTGGTGCCACTCATGATATGACAGGACATGTCAAGTGTCACCTCTACTATTCAAGATTCAAAGCTTCTCACATTCTTTAAATAAAACTGCAATATTGAACTGCACAACATCATCTTGTTGGCACGTAAAGTCTGTTCAATAGTGGATATTTAAAAGTGGATATTTATTAAAGCAGATGATACTGGATAACAGAAAGATTACTCGTGCAGCCTCAAAGGTAAATCACCACCGTGGCAGGCTGAATTCCTTCAGAAGAGAGAAACTTCACTGCGCAGGTAGTGACGAGCAAAGCTAGTTCCTTCTGCCAATACAGCAATAGTTTTACTTCAGCAGATAGAACAACAAAAACCCTGTTCAAGCTGATATAAAAACAACAAGCATACCACAGAAATATACCAAAAGATCAATATTTAGAGAAATAAATAAGTTCAACCAACATGTTAAAACAAATCATATTTCAAAACAAAAAAATGTCACAGTATTTTAAGCAGGGAGTTCACTTGGCTTTCGTTACCTACACTTTTCCCAACCACAGCATGCCAGGAAACCTAGATTCAAGGATACAACAACAGAGCAGGATCTTGCTCTGATCAGTACTGGATCAAACAAGGGCAGAAAAGCAAAGCAATTTTCACAATCTCCTCATAACCAAACTTAGTGTCTTTTTCTGCGGATCAAGGATCCATATAAAGCTGCCACAGCTTCATATCTAAACAAACAAAGCATCTGCAACATCCGAAAACAGTCGAGGGCACCAACACACACTCATCTTATGGGATAAATAATTCAGAACCCAGGCAACTTCCAGATTCAGATTAAAACTTTTTAGAAGCAGGCTCTTGCATTATCTGAGGGTATCTCAAAAACATCTATCATTTCTTTAATGATATAATAGATGCGGCAACTGATCCATATAAATAAAGGTGTGAGGACATCCATCTTCCACAGACAAGGAAGCGGTAATTTATCAGGTATCTACCACACGCTTGCTCCTTCACACCCAGCGCCGGTTAATTCCGTGTTCGTTAAAAATAACATTTTGTCCTTTAGCAAGGAGCGAGCAATTCATCACCCGACAGGACAGCCAGATAAAGTCCAAAGGAGCCATAAATTACAGGAGCACGGCGTTATGAGGGAGCAGCTCTTACCCTCATACGTTTCCAGGATGTGCACGGTGTCCCCGATCTGCAGAGACAGCTCGTCCGGGCCCCTCGCCTCGTAGTTGTAAAGAGCTGCACAAGGAAAATAGTGATATTAGCACATACCAAACAAAACAGTTCCAAAGATTTCTTCTCTCCTCTTTGCACAGCTGATTTTACTCCCCAATTTACTCATCATTACCACTGGCAATCTTTCTGTATAACATCTGGTCATATTTGGTCAAGTTTAAACCCACTAATACTTCCTCTTTAACAAGCCTAAAAAAAGCCACATATCCGCTTTCTAAAAATAGTCATTTACTCTTATTTATAGTAATAATAATTTGCTCTTCTTCATAAAAAATACATCCAGAATTTTTTTGTAGTTGATTTTTCCTGTTTTCCAGACTTTTTTGCTAATTTTATGCAGCCCTGCACTGACTCAGAGCCACCTTTACACCCCAAGAGACCTACCCTCTTTAAAAAAATTAACTCTTCCCTTTATAAATAATATTAAAATTTCTCAGCCACACTTCATAGATTTACTACATGAATACCACACTTAAAATTAAAGGATTTCAGAATTCATAAGCGGAGATAAATGCATCAATCCGAGTCCTGTAACCACCCAACCTTTGGGACAGGCTGCTGACACGAACGAACTAGGGCCTGGTTTGTGCAGGGTTAATCACAGCCACCAGCGAGGTGATGACACGAGAACCAGCATCTTCAGCAGAGAGTCAGCCAGAGCTTTTTCTTTTTTCTGTTTTTAAACACCAAATCCATTCCTGGCATCAAAACTTGCAAACCAAGCGCTGAAGTCGGGAAGGCCCAGGCTACTGTCCAGGACACTGGCCTGAGCAATGTGGGCAGGCTACGAGTTCACACCTCCTGTCCCCAGAAACTGCTTTTGTTCCCCAGAATTTAACCCCATTCCAACCTAAGGTGAGATGTCAAAATTGACAGACATTAAAAAAGCTGCAAAATAAAAGGTTTGAGGGGAGCAAAAAGCAAGATTTTAATTCAGGAGAGATAAAATGCACCGAAGTAGGAAGCTGGCTCTTTAGAAAGCTTATCGATTCGGGTACAGTATCAGGAGGATGGTTATCAAAGCACCAAGAGATCTAGAGCTAAACCCGCTAAGCGAGAGTTTCCCTCTTGATCAACATTGTCCTCTACAGCACCCTCACGTTCTAGACATATTTTTTTCTCAAATGAGCCTCAACTCCAAAGGTACAGATCTCTGTTCTGCATTGTTACCTGTATTTATCTATTCTATTTCACTACTGCAACCAATCACTCCTTGCTTGTCATTAAAGAGACTACTTTACACTGAATTTTCTCTTCTCCTTAAGGCGACACCTCCACCACAAGAGACTTTAGGGATACCAAGAGCACCTGAAGCTCAAGGATGCTCCTTCCTGCCTAACAGACACGTTTCAGACAGAAACCAGGCGTTTGTGGCTCAGTGCCACCGTGGCCAACCTGGATGACGGCTGGCGGTGCAGAGGGAGCAGCAGGTCCATATGGCAGCTTTAATTAGCCCGCTATGGAGATGTCAGCCTGAGGGCAGCGAGCTGGGAGTCACCCTCACTGCCCGTCCTCCCAAAGGGCAAACGGGGCAGCCACCTTCGGCCGCCTCTGGCGAGAGCTGGTGCTTCCTGGGCACCCCTATGTCCCCAAAGTTTAATTACATTTAAAAGGCAGGTGGGAAACAACCACCAACACGACACTTAACAGCATTGTGGCAAATTAGCACAGAGAAGCAGAGCTGTCTTTGCCAATTCTGGGCATCATTAGCTGTGATTGGTTTCATTGAGATTTGTGGGGACCTTCTCTATTTGTGGAACCATATCAAGTTTCCCTGACAACCATATTATAAGTATGCTCATATTGACTGGCAAACAAACCCTTTCAGGTGCATATTACATCTAACCTGCCAATAAAAATGGAATTAACCAAACCTCTTTGAGGCAGGAAAAGCATCCAGCAATTTGCAGGACATATCAACTAATAAAGAACCACTGTGGCTCTTGGACAGGTACTGAACAAAGGGAGATCCGCTGGACTTACGACGACTTGTTCCTTAGCTAGTATGGGATTAGCTGATGTGAAAGCTGAAGAGCATTCAATAGATGCAATATTTGCTGCGAATCCAGGGTTTCAGCTACACTGTCTCAGTGAACAGAACTAGGATGGTAGGGATACAGCCAACAAAACACACACAAAGAGGAAAAACTTCTCAAAGTCATCTCACATAGTTGTACCCAGCAGGATAAAAGGGATCACTCCATGCCCAAGAGCTGCATTTCAGCACCACCAAGGTATTTTTCTTCATTAGTGGCACTTCCAGACATAAAGACAAGGCAACTCTTCCAGTAAAACTGTTCTTGCTCCCCTGCTTCTTCTAATAAAGCCACAAAGCAAACCTAGACAAAAGGAAAGAAATGCCAAAGCCCAAGGATTAGTGTGGGCATAGAAAGAACAGGTTTGTGGAAAGCTCCAGGAGTTGACAAAGAAAGGAACACTGAGTCGAGTCGGGCACCACTGTAACTGCACTAAAACCCATTTGCTACTAGAGACCACAAAACAAACACCGTTAAAGAACTGCACTCAGTACCCTGAGCATGCTAGAAAAAAACCCTCCTTTTTCTGAGGGTAACACTAGAAGAATCAGAGGTGACGTGTGAAGGAAGGGAAAGAGCAAAGAGAGGTAGCATGGGTAGGCACTGACAAAGTCTTCCTCCCCTGGAGGAGGAGGAAGGCTGAGGTATCTTCAGGCACCACCAATATTCCCTGGAATTACTTTGCATTCAAGCCTGCGTTAATTGTTTCACCCTCTACAAGGGTTGCAAACTACCTTTAACACATTTTCAGCTTTATTTTGTGCTGTCTCTGAAAGAAAAATCATTTTCCATAAAAGCAGACAAATGACAGAGGAGGAGACCATCTTACTGCTAAAAAAAGAAATCAGAAGGATTACCTCATTTCTCTATGAAAAGAAAACAGTGCTTTTAGTATTGCAAAAATTCCTCAATCCTCTACTACTAGACAAGTTCCTGATTTTGCCGTTAGCCTCAGCTAACAGCAAGGAAACGCAGCGATTCAGGAGCGCAGGTCTGCACGTGCGGCCCTGCCAACGGGGCCTCCACCCTCGCCCTCCGCCACGCACTGAGGTCACCCTGGTTTGTGCCGGTCTGATCTCACCAAGTTGGACTTTTCCCCCCCTCAGTATTCCAGTTATTTTTCATCTTTTGTGAATATCTCCATAGTATTCCCAAACAAAAGGGAGAAGCCTTTATGGACATATACAAGCCTCTACTTACACACAAAAGCTCTTTATACCATGCAGACTGGAGCATCCTCTTCCTCATGCTGAAATGGGCACCCGACTGTGTCAGAAGGTCCCAATCTCCACCTAGGATGCGACACTGAGCTACCAAGGCCACCCAAGCCTCCTGTCAGCCCAGAAACCACACTAGGTTTGCTAGCACGAGCAGCAGGATGTTTTGCAAACCACCTCCCCTCTTTTCACTACTCAACGTGAATCAATAAATGAGAAAAATCTTCACATTCCAGAGGAATCCAAAACTCCCGCCCTCCAGAAGCACAACCACCCCCTGCCACATCCTGCAGGCAGGGCTCCAGTCAGCCCATGGAGAAAAGAATACCGGAAAAAAAATCCACACTTCCTTTTCTTCCTTAATTAGGAGTAAAATAAACAAGACAGATCCTTTAAGGAAGCTCTGGACCTACTTGAGACTTTTGTTTCTGCTTTTGCTCCTCCCAGCATCTAAGTGAGGCACTTCATTAGCTCCCTGCAAACAAAGAACCCACTGGCCCTCAGCTCCCCTCTGCTCTGCACAGTACTTCAAACGCCGCAAAGGGGCAGAGAGCTGAAACTCATTTAAAGAAAACTGACTACAAAAGCACTAATAAGGCGCTATAATGTCCAGCTAACAAGAGGCAAAACAATCAAGAGAATTCAGATTGTTTTTCAATATTAAGAGCACATTAGGTGAGACACGCTGTATCCAAGGAGTAATCAACCATCCCAAGCTCTTCACCTGCCTTCTGCAGGAAAGAGATGTCAATTTAGTAAAACAGCTCTCATCATCTCGCACCAGATGTCTTGTCATCCGCCTAGGGCAACAGCATCAAAGTCAGCCCGCTGGGACGCTCCCTTGAATTCTGACAACTTCCATGCTCCCTGTTCCTCGCAGGACAAAACAGGAGTCACTCCATCACGGCTTCGGCACATTGAAGCTCTGTTGGTGGTCACCACGGTGGCTTCTGCACATCTCCATGGCATCTTCCCTGCCTCCTTCTGCTTGTGCTGTGACTACCTGAAGGTGCTCAACCCTCCCAGCCCCAGTCAGGTCTGCTAAGGGGCCCTGGGTCCGGTAAGGCCACGCTGCACAGCGGGACACCAAGAGGTGCAACTCGGCTCTTGCTGCACTGGCCCCATCCATGATGCCCTCCAAGAGGCCAAAGGCAGCTTGTTGAGGGGCACCAAGGCAAGCATCCCTGTGGGAGCCAGGGAAGGGTGTCCGAGCTTTCAATTGCTCACGTTGAAACAGGCTCTACCCCAAATCTTGAATATCACTGTGCACAGAACACATCGAGGTTTGTGCTCGAGAAGGAAGGAAAAGAGTTAAACACAGACAGAGGGAGGAACTCGTGCCGCTTAAGGACAATGCTGGCACCAGATCAAGTCCAGATAAACCGGACAGAGTAAAGGTTAGGCCTTGTCATTAGGCAGAGCTGCCACAAGCAGCTAGGTCCTAGGCTGGCGCTGCCGCAGCTCCCCAGGCCTCGGCCTCGCGCTGCCCCCAGCCCCGGGGCTCTTCACCCCCTGGCACCCGCCCCAGGGGCCTGGGCGCCTCAGACGCCCCTGGCCCTGTTCCCAGAAGGGCTCCGGGTGCACCGGCACCACCCGCCAGGCACCAGTCCCCAGTCCGGTGTTCAGGTGGGCTCCGTAACGCGCCAGCGCCTTGAAGCAAGGGATGCTGTGCCAGTTGGGTGCAACTCGGGCAACAGACCAGCAACACAGCAAGGCCCTCAGTATTTGCTGCTCATGGAATGAACCAGGA